GGTTTAGGTTCGCGTATTTCCGCTTCTGTTTTTACCAAATATTATGTCATGGCTAATGAATGCATGTGATATGAACAATATGTTCGATTTCAGGGGCTTGCAGCAAAAACAATCGATTAGATTGGCAGCTTATTGTTGGCAATGAATTTGGGAGAAATAAATTCAAAGGGAAGTGGCTCAGCTAAGAGATCATTGCTGAAAATTAATTATGATTCCGAAATATGCGAGACAATCCCCGAATTGTTTAATGAAGTGTTCCACCCAGTTCAAGTTAAAAGTGGTAGCATTTGTTATATTAAAACTCAATAAGAAAGAAAACCAGTTATTAACAACTCAAAAATTTAACTTTACTCATTGATTTTATTTTATTATTCAAATACAACAATTCACTTCTGTCATATTTATATGTTAATTATAACTTATTAAAGAAACTTTGTTAATTTACAATCCCTACCCAAAGCCATAAACAAATTTGCTATCTAAATTATAAATATCTTAAGAAATAAACATTTCAGCTTCAAACTTTCTTCTCTCCATTTTTGCTGATGATCGCTTTAAAAATTTGCTGTTTTGTTTTTGCTTAGACTGTTTTGCCAACTGCGGCATTTGGCCAGCGTTAGTGTCAAGTCAAGTGCTGGTCTCAATTTCAGCGAAAACGTGGCGAAACTAGTTTAAGACCATATTTTCTGCTTTGATTGCTATATTTCTCCAGAGTGTTTCGGCTTTCAGGCAGACTGGCCATTGGAGGCAAAAGCACCTGCACAGAAACCCCAATACGAAGCCAGGGACAAAAAAAATAATATGTATGAGTCGATGGTAAAGTGCGAATTTGCTCACCTTTTCGCTTGTTCGCTTTTTTTCTGCATTCCGAGAATCGGTTTTCGGTTCTTGGTTTTCGGTTGGACGTGGAGGGCAGACCTTCCTCTAATCCCGGGCCTACTATTTCTGCCACGAGTGTTGCCGATCCCTGCTGATCGCCACAAATCAGGCGCGAGTACGTGCCGGGCATCGATAATCGCCAAGAATCGACTGCAAACGGGCACGTCTCGATGGTCAGCATTTTATCGTCTTCTTTCGAAAATTTCCCTTTATGAGTCGCAGTGGCTGTGGCAGCGGCAGCCTCATCATTATGCATTCCAACTGGACGGAGGATCGGCGGGCCAACTAATAAGCATTTTAGCACAGAAGCCACGTACCGACTTCATAGAGTTATTAGTGCCGTACAAGGCGTCATGGTGATAAGATGGCCAAGGGAAACCGTTTGCGGTCGCCATATATCATGTAAGTGCATATTCCGCCCAGATCCGACCGGCGGAATGGTTGCATTTTCCCATGGGTTCTGGGAGTGCGTGCTCATTGGAGGAGAACGACCAGGGAAACAGGCACTGGCTGGATTTGAAAACCCTGCAAACCCTCTAATTGCTGGGGTTAAGGAAACAAAGAATCCACCGCCGGATGGGGGAGGAATTAATTTGCGAAAGACTAAAGATCAACTGGGATCCATTTAGATTCCCAAAGGCCACCTTTTGCATGTATCAGTAAAACTAAACTTGTGGTATCAAAGTAGGAATGTACAATTGAATTTGTTTTATAATGTTATGATTAATATAAATTGATTATCTTTTGACTTACATTTGATAACGTCGAAGATAAAGTGCTTTATTGTCAGATCAATGTAACCTAATTAGGGGAATACCCTTTGTTGTAGCAAAAAAAATTCCAAGGAATCAATCATTCCAACAAATATCGTATTTCGATTTCTTCACAACCAAAAATAACTATGGAATGACGAAAAACGAGGCCCTGGTGCACAGGATTTATGGAGCTTAATAATTATATCTTACTGACACTCTCCTCTAGAATGTAACAAACTGACTATAATATTAGTGTTTACAGCGATGCCTTCTCCAATAATTCAAATTATGCAGTCGGCCTGTCTGGCCCGTTTGGTAATTGAAACTTTGATGAATAGTCAGCGAGTGTTAATGGGCATCTTGGCCGCCATGCATTCGGCTGCTCATCCGTGGACATTCCACTCGCTGCCTCTCCACTCCGTTCCACAGTAATTAATCAAAGCGAGACCTTGCCATCGACATCTTCCCCATCAACAGGTAGTAAAACGGCAAGACGTGCCCCATCAATTCGTATCCATCTGCAGCTGTGGAAATATCTGTATCTTTTTTCTGTTTCTGCAAAACAACGCGGGAGTCGTTCGATTCGTGCGTGACAGAATGAGTTGTATGGCTTAATGCTCAGTGGATTGAATTTAAGACTTAAAATTGTAGTTGAATGAGTTGATTTTATTTACTTAAATGTTTTGTGATAAATTATAAATGTAGCTTCTGTAAGAAAATCAACTTTATTCAAAAAGTTAAACAAGAAGTTTCCTTTCCAAACCGAAAATAAAAAATTGTTTTCACAGTTTCCTCCTCAAAATTGACGGAAGTGACCCAAAAACTTATCTTACCAAAGTGTTCCCAAACAAAAAGTCTACAAGCTCTGCTGCTCTTTTTAAGTCGTTTGTATAGCAACTGACCTGACACTTCCCTAATGGGTTTAAACATTTTGGGTTAGCTGCTGACTACTGCACGAATTAACAAGTTATAAACGTGTAAAGTTGGGATGAATTCAAATACATAAAATATTTCCAGGGGAGGAAAAGAAAATGTTACTTTAAGCTGTAAAAAATCATCAATTTTCTATTACCTATCTACCATAATAAAATGTTGAAATTTACAGTCCGTAGGCGATAAATAAAAAATGTTTAAGGTAATGAATAATACAAAAAAATCGTTACTTTTCTTAATTCGAAGCGTTTATTATACATTACCATAAACAACAAAGTAATGGCCCATTATGGAGAGTAGCTTGCGAAACTCTCAGAACGCAAAATCTTGGGGTCAGTTTCTATAGTATTTCTGTATCCAAAGACGGCGGGTCTCAAGCGATTGTTCGAGTTGTGAGCTGTTCGAAGGCTGGGGAATGGAACTTGAACTCGAAGAGAGACTCCGCGACCTGGACTCAGTTAAGGAGGCAAAAGAGAAGCCGCAGCTGAAGCCGAAGCCGAGTTGGCCATCCAACAGATACACACCTCGATCGGAGCCGTTTTCAGAAATACTGGTTTTTCCTCAAGCCAGCCAGCAAGCCAGCCAGCAAGCCAAGTTGCTTACAAAGATTTGCTTTCATTTTTCCGTTAAAATTCGCCTCGGTATGGGTGAGTATCTGAGTATCTGCGTACAGCTGGCGTTGGCGTCAAGGTGAGTTATCTGAGTACCTGTATCTCTGTATCTGAGTGCGAGAACATCGGCGTGTTGGTGCCACAACTCCAGGTAGTCCATCCAAGACTTCGTTCTCATCTCGACTTGGGTTCCGCCGACCCTGCCTCTTTTACCTTTACTTTTCGGAGCAGCGGAGGCTCTGCCATGTTAATCCACTGGCCAAACATCCCGGGGGCCATAGAATCGGACCCATACCCATACCCATACACACCTGAGGAGTGAGTTGGCAACTGCAGCTGCGCAGGTAGCCGACGAAGAGGTTATTTGATTACTCAACCATTTTTCTTTGCCGATTTTCGCCTGTTCTTCGGTCTTCCTCTGGATCTTTTTCGTTTTCGGGCCCAGAGCCACATGTTGCCGGTGAAACCTCACGTAGGCATGTCCGGCACAAATTTCAGCCGTTTTTTCCTCAGGTGGAATTCAAGCCATAATTCGAGAAATTGAAAAGACATCTGTCGTCCCCTGATCGATTTTTTTTCCAGTCGGGCATTTCCGCAATTTACACATTTTGTACCCAGAAATTTTTTGGTTTCATTCTTTTCGGAGTGCTTTATACTTGAGGGTGCATTTAATTGATTTTAAATTTGAATATTTGATGGACCCTTGACATCCATACGACTTGATCCCTTTGGATCTTTTAAAGCGAAAGGCACTTGAAGGCCGCCTCAAGTTTCTTTTGACTTTGGCTTTCAAAAATTTGATTTGTTTGGAGAGTCAATTGAAATTTAATTTCCCTGGAATAAATTCAAAACTCTTTTGTGCCCCAAAACAATTAAGAAATGCTCTTGCAGCTGAAAATGAATCAAATGTATACTTCATTATAAATATTTTTATACATACCACATAAAGCCATTAATCTTCAGCTGGAAAGGACATCTAGACGGCAGCTGCAACAAATCCATCTGGAAGAGAGTTGTATCTAAAAGATACACTTGGATGCCTCGTCATATCGGCCATGCAAATCTAAATGAAGTTCTCTGCGGCAGTGATCATGGATACAAAACGCAGCTGTGTGGATTGAAAATGCACCTGCTGCGATGAATACACATTTTCGATTCCATTTCCCGCTCGTTTTTACCCATTGAACCGCTCCAATTTTGTTCATTGACTTGTGCCGCAATCGATTTGTTCGAAACCGAACGAATCCGAAGGCAGGCGTAACCTACTTTCCGCTGATAAGATAATGACGCTTTTCCTCCGGTTACAGTTTACAGTAGCGCTCGCCGACGCCTCAGTCAATGACTTACCATTTATATACATTCGCGCCTATATACTCGCTGGCGTCGAATATATATGCGAGTATTTGTTTGTGTCTGGCTTGAGCACTTGTGTGTTCATTTTCATTGCTTCTAATAAAATCCAGGGGGATGGGGCTTACCCAGTTGTCAAAGACGGCTGTTTCTACGCGGCACCTCCAATCGAACATAACAACGTTTTCCAGTCCGATTCGCCTCCTCCTCAGTCGCTTATCTCCCCCGTTAAATGATCAACACAGAAATAGGCTCGATTTTATTATGTTTTTTATTTTTACACAATTATTTTGTGTTTGTGTGGCTCTTTCGTTTGTTGTAAATCATACAATTAATTAATATAATATATACTATATATAAATAAAGTATTTTAGCTGTTCACTGCAGTGAAGGCTCGCCTTGGCGTTCAGTAAATCCCCTCTTGGGGCTTCTTACTTGACTCTTATTAAACACGGAAAAAGACTTACAAAAATACATATCGCATTGATTTATTGAACATCTTTAATTACTTATACGTCTCTATGTTTATGTATACGTTATATCTCTTACAATATAACATGGATATAGCTGCACACAGCTGCGCACTTTCGTAATTACAGGAAGTGTGTAAGACTCCCTCGATTCGATGAGTTTAAATTAGGTTAAACTGATTTATACATGTACTAGAAGACAACCCTAAGAAGTTATACTGATATTGATAGGGTTTACAGTTCTAGATAATTTACGATATAATGCTAACTTAGATATAGCTTCTTGTATTATCAAATTGAGTTCCCCTTTGATTTTGTGTGTGAATTTCTCTTAGCTCGGAAGTCTCAACAAATCCTAATTGAAGATCTGTCTTGTCTAGGCCGACTAACATAAAGTCTTAAATAAACTATTAACTATTGTTTGTATAACATAATGTATTCTTCTTATGCATGGAAAAATGCATACTGATTTCGAATTCTGTTTGTAGGAATATTTCTGTTGCTGGACAATTAAATGTGTTTTTCGTTTCGATAACTGTGTGACCCCCAATCTGAAGAATTGAAGCATTAACAATTCTGCAGACTAAGTGGCTTGTTCGCAGTTGCTTGTCTACAATTAGTGTTAGCTTTAGTAAATATATAGTTCGTTTACGTAAGATCAAGATCACTTTTTGCATTTACAAAAACAAAAAACAAAAATGTGTTCCCCTGGGCCCTTGCAATACTCCTCCATAAAAATATATATGTATATATATAATATATAGTTTACCCATATATATATCTCTCTCCCTTTTGAATCGACTTTGGTGCCGGCTAGGCCGGCTCCTTATTCCGACCATATCAACATCCGTACAACTCTTAGAATATAAAAAGTCTTTTCATTTCTACGTCATCGTCTTCGGACCGCAGCTGGCGGGGATCCCTAGATGCGCCAGCCCTGGTCGTCGTCCACATTGGAGTCCGTGTCCGAGGGCTCCTCGCCGTACATGTCGGCCAGCTTGCGGAAGCGCGGTCCGAAGTTGGACAGGTAGTCGAAGTTGAGATCGCCGTCGTCGGTGCAGGACGCCAAGCTGGACAAACTGCCGTCGGAGTTGCCGTCGCCCTCGTACGCATAGTGACGCACATCGTCCACCGTGGTGGCGCCCACGTCCCGGTCGCAGTTCTCCTTCTTGTCGCCCAGGAAGTCGGCGATGTCGGGAATGTCGTTGGGATCCCGCATGCTCGACTGCAGCGCATGCGGATCCTTGTAGAGCTTCTCCTCGTAGAACGGCTGGCTGCGCAGGACATTCAGATCGTAGTCCGTGTCCCGCTCGCCGCCGCCCTCGTCCTCGTAGTTGATGATCGTCTCGCGGATGTCGTCGATGTCCTTCTCGTGCCAGCCGTTCTTCTGCTTCTTCTGCACCACAACAGCCAGCAGGATGATCAGCAGCAGCGCCAGACAGACGATGATCGCGATAATGAAGTTGCGATCGATGCCGAAGCTGAAGGCCACCGCCACGGACTGCTGGCAACCGCTGTCGATGTTCCGGAACACAGAGGGCATGCCCAGGTTGTAGGTCTGCTCGTTGATCGTCAGGTTGCGAATGCACCCGAAGAATCCCTTCTGGCCGGGCACATGCGTCCAGTTGAGCTGCCGTCCCAGTTGCTCCAGATCCACCGGTGTGCCGCCCAGCTGCAGTGGGGCATTCACGTTGAGGAACTCATTCGGACCGATGGGGGCACCTAGAGTTTGACACGTGGACAACCGGCAGTTGTCCACCATCATCTCGACGTTCTTGCGCTGCAGGATAATGTCCAGTTGGTAGGTGCGATCGGGCACCATCTTAATGTGCTGATGCGGGATTCGAATGGCACCCGATCCGTAGTCCACAGTGAGCACCGGATAGCCATCGTCCAGCTCGAGGGCGAGGAAGTCAGAGATCGCCAGCAGCGGATTGAAGTTCAGCGGTCCCAGGTACAGAATCAAACCACTATCGATTTGGGGAGTAATTTCCAGGCTGATCTTGGTGTTATTGCACGCTGCAATGGGTTCGTAGAAGGCATACCCACTGCCGTAGAAGGCCACCGATACGAGTTCGCAGTGGGGTCCAGTGAATCCGTCAATGCAGTCGCACACATCGTTCTCCCCGAACCGCGGAGATCCTCCATTCAGGCAGCGTCGCATAAGAGGAGCCTCGCAGACGCACTGCGCTTGAACAAAGGCATTTACGCCCACGAAGGAGGTGGTGTTCGAGTAGATCATGTACGGCACCGAGCTCTTGTGCAGCTCGTTGGTGCACGACTCCTCGCACTTGAAGCGCTCGATGAGGCACTCGTCGATGTTCACCATCAGCATCTGCAGGTCCAGTTCATTCTCCAACTTTTGCTGGTTTTGGGCCACAATGCCGTTTAGCTTCTCCGGAGCATAGTAGGGTGAACCGTGGGCAGAGTAGCGCACGTCGAGGGTGTGGTTCTCGTTCTGCAGCACCGTGAATACGTCCACATTGGTCACCGAAGTGTTGAACAGCTTGGCCAGCGAGTGCTGCAGGCGATCCTTGAGCGAATATCCCTCCGGCGACTGGAAGTCACGCGGCACGCTGATGAACTCCTCCTTGGTAACGTTGATGAACCGAATGCTGCCGCTCTTGTCCACCGCCTCCTCGGGCAGCACCCGCACCACCACGGTGACATCCGCGTCCACGGAGTGACGGGGCACGAACATGGACTCCTCGGTCACCCTGAACTGCAGGTAGTACTCCCCCTCTTCGGTGTGGGTCAGCATGGTGATCATTCCCGTACTGGGATTCAGTCGGAACTGGTCGTGCGGCAGGTCCTTCCACTCGAAGTACTTGTCCTCCAGATCCCAGTCATCCAGATCGTCCACAAACACGCGACCAATGTCCGTTTCCGGTGCCTCTCCCTTGTAGTTGTAGATGAAGATGCGCGACGAACCCTCGCTCATTGCATTGTCGTTCAGGTCGCCGATCACCAGGTGCAAAATGCTCACCGCACTCTGACGCGGAACACCGGAGTCACTGATGCGAATGGGGATGAAGTACTCCTTTTGGGCCTCCCGATCGAACTGCACGTTGGCGTGCAAGAAGTCCCCGTCCATGCTGAACTTGGTCTTGATGTCCGGCGAGGCCTCGCTGTCGATGCCGAAGGTGAAGTTGCCCGCACCCGGGGAGTCGTCATAGTCGTTGGCCTGCAGCTGCACCACCAGGCCGGGATTGCGGTTCTCCTGCCAGTAAACGGGCATTTCGTTGATCAGGAACGGAGCGTTGTCGTTGATGTCCTTCAGCGTGACGGTGACCTCCTTCAGCTTGCTGACCGTGGTGCCTACACCATCCTCGTCGTTGGCTTTGATCAGAACCTGCCAGTGCTTGTGACCGTTGGGCGGATCGCGGTCCAGAGTCTTAACCAATCGCAGACAGCCACTGTTATCGATGGTCCAGCGATTGCCCTCGTTCTGGTGAATCGAATAGACAATATGCTGATCGGCGTTGCGATCCTTGATGTCGGGATCGTAGGCCTCCACGGTGAGGATGCAGTTGTCATAGGTGGTCTCCTCCAGAATGGTTACGCTATAGTCCTGCTTGAACACCGGCGGGTTGTCGTTCACGTCCTCGATCTTAATCACCACCGTGGTGTAATCGTCGTAGATTCCGTCAAAGGCCCGCACCTTCAGTTCGTACTCCGTGATTGTTTCGTAATCCAGCTTCTGGTTGACAGTAATCTTGCCAGTTTTCAGACCAATCTTGAAGGCGTCACCCACGTTGCCGCTCTCGATGCTGTACAGGATCTGCGAGGCGTTGTCCTCGTCCTCGGCTTTCACCTCGATAACCTCCGTGTTGGTGTTGGCATCTTCGAGCAGCCTCTCCGCCAGATATTTGTCCTGCTGGAAGTGCGGCTTGTGATCGTTCTTGTCGCCAATGGAGATGCGGAACACCTGGTGACCCCGATTGGGCTCGCCATTGTCAAACAGACTGGAAGGTGAATTGTCGCTCGCAATAACTTTAACGTTGTAGAAATCACGCTCCTCGCGATCGAAAGTTGTCCGTGCGGTGATGTTACCCGTATTGGGATCGATGGTAAAGTACTCTCGGTTGTCGGCCAACTCGAAGGAAACGATGTTATTGGCCGCCGTGCCGTCCATGTCGAAGGCTCGAACCTGCATCACAGGCGTGCCCGGTGGCTCATTTTCGAGGATTGTACCCGACTTAACCTCCGTGTAGTAGGGAATATTATCGTTGACATCCTCCACCTGGATCTTGATCTGATGCTCTGTGCCCAACTCGTGTGTGTTGCGCACAATCATGGTGAGTGTGTAGTCGGTGATGGCTTCGTAATCCAGTGTCTTGCCCAAGCTAATGGTCACTTCGTTGCCGATCTGATTGAAAACGAAGGTGTTCTTGCTGTTCGTCTGCTCTGTACGGCCGGTGTTCAGTTCGAAGATCACCTCCGGTTTATCCGGCATGTTAGAAACCGCCCTTAAAGTGGCTATGGGATGTGTGAAGTTCTTGAGATTCTCCTTCAGGTAGATGGGTGTGTCGATGGGATCCACGAAGGACGGTGGCTTGATGGAGGACTCCACCACCCGGATGCGCACCTCAATCTGCGCATCCTGCGGCGGATCGGGCACAACGTTATAGGCCCGCACTATAATCGCATACGACTGCCCGGGTCGCTTGTCAATCGATCGTTTCAGATAGATAATGCCCGATTCCTTGTCGATCTTGAAGTACTGGAAGTCGCGCTCCCGCAGAATCTCGTACTCGACTAAACTGTTGTTTCCATCGTCGAAATCGCTGGCACTTATTGTCATCACCACCGCGTCGGGCTGCAAGTAGAAGGTAAAGATAAAGCCAAAGATATTTGGGGGTTCTGGTTTCCTTCCGACAAAGCAACTTTCCTGCAGGTTTGCCCAAACGAAGAGCAAACACATGTCCCCGCTCTACTTCCTCGACCTTCTTCCTTTGAATGCTACCTAAGCAAAAGCCTAAGTGGAACTGAAACCTTTTCGCGGAAATTAAACCGCTGGCAAAGCTTGGCTAAAAATAACAGCGATTTTTGTGGGCATAAAAAAGAGGAAACTAAAAAAAATGGAATGGCATTCGAGGTTGAGAACTTTTTAGCAGTATTATTTTATGTCTTTTAATAATAACTTCCAGGAATCTAATGAGATCAAACAAAACGGCGGACATAAGCATAAGTTTAAATTTTTTTATTAATGTAAATTATTAAAATTTCATAAAAAGTTGTCTAGTGATTTCCGACATTGTAAAATTATTTTAAATGAATACGTAGTATGTGCTCTACTTTTTCTTCACAAACGTACATATTTTTTTGTAAATACATTTTAATCGCCAATTTATAAAACGCAATAAAATTAAGTTCTATAAAGATTTTTATTATATTTTTTTGGAACCATCTTTTTCTTGATGAAATGCAGCACACCTTAACTAGTATTTTAGCTAAATTTAGTTTTGCTACCTCTGCCTTGTCAGGTTGGTTTACCAGCCCTTTGCTTTTTGGCACGACGACAAATTTTTCTAGTCGCAAACATGGGAATGGCGTAAAAGAAAAGGCGGCCCAGAGCGTTGGAAAGGGTTTCAAGGTTTTCAGTATCGAACTGGGCGAGCAATGAACCCAAAACCCGTCGCCAAGCGTTTGCCCTCCTACGCCAATCGAAAACTAGTTCCGCCCAAGAAGACGTTCGCCATGAACTGGCAAAGAAGTGGATAATTAACACTGCAGGGAATGCAGGACGTGCGACAACTGGAGGCCCGTCTGTAGGAGTTAGTAGGTGGGCGAAAGGTGGTTGTTGTTAGTGGCAATGACCCATAAATGCTATTTCTTAGGAAAAATTATCCTTCTAAATTACAACATTTTTTGAACATGCTCTAATACCTGTTTACTACTAATTTCCCTTATTCAAAGTTTTTTTGCGTTTTCCCTTGAATTAAGTTAACGCCTACGAAGGATATTCAGAAAATTAACTAGTATATATTTATTATTTAAATTTTTTGTGTTTGATCTGATTATTCTTCGCAACTTTTATATTTCGTAATACTACTCTTCACCTACAGAAATCTATACCCAATAATTTTACCAAAACACAAATACAGCACCCACAGATATTTTTATTTTGTTTACCAATCCAATTTTGTCTGTTTACAATATCAAATGTGGAATGTTACGTTATCTGAAGTGGAAGTGAAAATACTTTTGTTTTTCCTTGAAATATGCATGTACTTTTTGTATGAATCACTTTTTCGTAACCTAATATTGTTCTACACCTTTTAAAAGTGTAAGAAAAAATCCCCTGAATAAACCTACAAAACCTTTTGTCTCTGTTAATGACTTTAAGAACACAATTAAATTAGCTTCACAACATCACGGGAAGGGGGTGCAAATCAAACAGAATGACATCACTCTACCTCCGCGCCACTAACTTGGCCAAGCCGCAGTAATCCGGGGTCCACAAGCTTGGCCAGAAGCGGCGGAAAGAGAGGACCACAAACTCACCTGAGCATTTTCCGACATGGACTCGTCATAGCGCGCCTTGTTGAACGCCGGAGCGTTGTCGTTGATGTCCTCGATGGTCACGTTGAAGGTGCAGACGTCGTCCAGCGCCGGCAGACCATTGTCCGTGGCCTGGACGGTGACGAACACGAACTTCTCGTGGATGGGTTCATCACGATCGAAGGTGTGGGTGGTGGAGATCACGCCGGAGGAGGGATTAATGAAGAACTTGGGTCGCTCGAAGGGCGACTGAACGATGCTGTATCGGATAACCTGGTCCGGATCCGGATCGACGGCCTCCACGGTGAGCACGTATGTGTTTTCCGGTTGCTCCTCCTTGACCTTTGGAGCGTATCCGGCGCAGTTTTTGAAGGCAGGCTTGCGGTTGTCACCGGAGAAGTTCTTGTCCGGCGGTGATTGGAGTGCGAGGGCGGGTGACAGGACACTGAGCGCTACAAGGACGCCCCAAAGGAGTCTCGCGGGGATTAGTCGTCGGCCGAGGTCGCGGCATTTCCGCTTGTGCTGTTGGTGCGTCTGTTGCTGGGCGGGATTGGGCTGGCCGGCCTCCTGGATTACCGACATTCTGATGCAGAGGGCGCTACTGGACAATCGATGGACAGTGGTGGGCATGTTTCCTCTAGCGGCGATCCGCCATCTCTAGCTCTCTTTTTCAGCCGGATCACTTTTGAGCACTTCTTTGTGAATCACCCAGTATTATTCACTCACACTTAGACACGCCTTTTACTTTTACGTGCTCTGTTTGTATTGCCACTTCTACTTCTATTCTATTTGCACTCTTCTCGTTTCTCTCAGTGTGCCGTTGTTTGTTTGGAGTGCATTTTCATGGCAACCGACTAATTATCAACTATCAATCGAAATTATAACGAACGCGTACAGTGCGCGAGCCTATTGAAATACTGATTTTTCCGACTCCGGTGCAGCTGCCTGATATTTGGTTCACTTTTATCTTTCACTCATCCGCTTCGGCACTCTCTTTCTAGCCCCTCTCTTTCGCTCCGCAAACAGGTAAGACCAGGTAAAAAAGTGGTTACACGCACACTAAAAAGCGCGCGCATTCGTGTGCGATTGCTTCGGTCCCTTGTGTTGGTATGCGTCCTACCAACTCTTGGTAAAACAAGGCACTTTTCGATGGTATTTCGTTGTGATTTGTACACTTTGGCGAATTTAAGTAGCTTAATTGGATTAAATAAGCCGGGATACGTATTTTCGTTCACTCAGATCGCTTTATTGCCGAATAGCAGCCCGCGGGACAAATTTGAAACTGCGATCGATGCGCGACACAACCGCCCGATTCGAAATCTGAATTCAAAAAAACTCCAAAAGCAAATGACCGATTAGGGATGGCGAAACTTCGATTAACCATCGATAAGTACTCGATTGTTTTTTGCAAATCTATTCCACCTCTAAAATTGAACATGTTGATATCATACATGCTAGCGAGTACACTATCCCTAGCTTGATGATGTAGTTTCCGAACCTAGTCGAGACACAAACCACGTTTAGTGAGTACACACTGCTAACATATCACTGTTTTGTACCCATTTTAAACAAACCGCCCAACAGTTTGTCATTCACTAGTCGGCGTGCGGAGCAGGTACAGGTACACAAATATCGTCCATCCCTAGCGAAGAGTGAAAAAACTCCATCACTGAATCGAATCGTCATCGTCTTGGCCCATTAATTGCGGAAAAAAAGATTGCACTCGCTGCAGAGCCGAAGAAAACGGTCGAGGAAGAGTTCCAGCGACAGAGCAACGCCCAGGCACTCCACACCGAAGCACCGGAGAGACCAGGAACCCGGGAAACCGAAAGCAAGAGCAAGCCAAACAACCGCCCCTGCCCCAGATTCGTGAATCACCCAGTGGAACATCAAGAGCCATGGAACAGACCCCGATCACCGATGCGGAGAAGGTGCGCATCGTATCGGACTTCATCCTGCATGCGCCGCCCGGCGAATTCAACGAGGTGTTCAACGATGTGCGCGAGCTCCTCAAGAACGACACTCTGCTGAAGGATGGGGCCAGCCACGCCTTCGCCCAGTACAACAAGGACCAGCTGACCCCGGTCCGCATCGAGGGCACCGATCACAACGCCATCATATCGGAGCACAACGATCTGGGTGAGTGGATTGCATTAGCGAATGCCCATTTATGGTCAAAAACTTGAATGAGTCACTCGTCAATGTTTGGCTTCATATCTTTATCCCCCACTGATAAGCCCATGCATTCCAGGCAACGGTCGCTTCTACGACCCGCGAACAAAGCAAGCCTTCAAATACGACCACCTACGGAAAGAGGCCTCCGACTACCAGGACTTGGAGGCGGATGCCACTGCGGAGCCCTGGAGGGCTGCCCTCGACCTGGAGACGCTCGCCTACACTGCCAGTCACTATAGACACGGGGTAAGTCCAGCCTAGGAGCACTCCTGCATTGTGTTAAACCTGAATTTTGATTTCCAGGTCAGCTCTGTCTTCGGCAAGGCGCAGGGCAACCAGATCACCCTGACCATTTGCATCGAGGACCACCAGTTCCAGCCGAAGAATTACTGGAACGGCCGGTGGCGCTCGCAGTGGCACGTCAGCTTCCAGGCGGGCAGTGGATCAGCTGAGCTGAAGGGCGTGCTTAAGGTGCAGGTGCACTACTACGAGGATGGAAACGTGCAGCTGGTGTCTTCAAAGGAGTGCCGCGAGAGCCTCGTGGTCAGCAGCGAGCAGCAGTTGGCCAAGGAGGTAATCCGCCTGATCGAGGAAGCCGAAAACGAGTACCAGCTGGCCATTTCGGAGAATTATCAGACGATGTCGGACACGACATTCAAGGCTATGCGCCGACAGCTGCCGATTACCAGGACCAAGATCGACTGGAGCAAAATCGTCTCGTACAGCATTGGCAAGGAGCTGAAGACGCAATAAGACCAGGAGGTGCAAGCGGAAGAGGAGCGGACACAGTCGACGAAGCGGCCCAACAGTCTTCCACTTGCAATGGCCAAGCGAGCATAGAGGAACCGATCACCAGCATTAAATACCACGACATCCAAACCGAAGCAGCAGCAGGATTACGAATACGAATGTGCGGGCGGGCGCCTGCCCAAATGAAATGTCTGTAACTGGGCTATTTACATACGAACATATACCTACATTTATATATATACAGCGTGTATTTATACTGTGTTATATAACGAAGAAACGTGCATATACATAACTATAACGATTACGATCGGAGACGATTTGATTGCAAGCATTTGGATGACTTTAGCCTGACGGCGAACGATGCACTGCTGCCTCGTCTGGGTCACAATCGCCACCAATTGTCGCCTTTATCGTTTAAGAAGAGCATTAAACGCGGATTTTATCATGTCCCTTAATCTATGTATTATTCTAATTTTAAACAAATCAAACATGAGAACTGCGCCCTAGATGGGCCAGACAATTTTTGGACTCGGAAACCATGCAACCGACTCTCGACTATTTTAAGCGGTATCTTTAGAGCACCCAACGCAAGTTCTCTGCTTTCCCGATTGTTCACCAACCACCTAGCGCATGAGCATGAATAATTAACTAAGCTAAACCACTGATCATTTTTGCCAGCTCTCCATTGACAAACAATAACTGAAGACTTTGATTTTATAAAAACAATAAATTTGTAATTAAAATAACATAACTATAAAACATTTAAGATTGCTTGAATTAGTCAAATTTAAAGAGAATAAACTAATTGAATCGGATGCTTTGGTTACTTTGAATGCGTTTCGGAAAGACTAACTTTAGAATCTATTTCCTGGGCAGGAAGCTTGCTTATACTTTCCGGAAGATCGAAAGTTAACTCCTCGGATTTTTTGAGCAAAAATCGCTTCTCAGGATTAAGTTTCGTTTCCAGCTCCAGTCGGTCGATCAGCCAGCCGCTATCTGGTTTATGGGAGGCCCAGAAGAAGAGCGTGCCTAGTATTAGGAAAATATAAATGTCATATCTGCAATAAAAATATGTAGTTGAAGTACCTTTGTCTTTACTGCCCCGCACGGAAACCTCGAAATGAGCCATCTCCGCATTGCAATTGTTGTTGGCATTGGACAGGTCAATGCCAGAATCCTTGATGGGTTCTCCCAGTAGCCCCACAGCCCCTCGATGGCTCCTTAGGGCTTTTAAGGCCAGTTTGTAGTACTCGCAGTTTCTCACCCGATCCTCCATCTTCCAGCGCATGTACATTACAGCGGATATGGAGGCCACGGCGCCATAGACACAAATATTGCCCAGGGTCCGGTTTGAGGGCATCCTCAGTCTCACCATTTTGCTAGGTTTTTGTTATCAAATATCTGTTTTTATTTAAGATAATGTTTTCTGTTACTTGTGTAATATTTGTTTTTGCCGGTTGGGTATTAGAGATGACAGTCAGCCGATACGTTTTTTCCTAGCGGCCTAAAATTCTACATGTTGTTTAAAAAGGTAATCCCAAAACAAATATTTTTTTGTTGACCTTATTGTTTCTAGTTATTAATTAAAAAACCAGAGTCTAAGTCGTTGAAAATGTGTTTTTAATTTAAAAATGCTATTATTTTTTGTTGTTTTGAATAAACAGCTGACCGAACATATGCTTAGACAGGGCTGCATAATCACATTTACGTTTCGCAGATTATACAACAAAACGCTGCCTAATTTTAAATAAGTCGGATTAATTCGACAATTATTTGTCAATTAAAGTGACGATTAAAAAGTAAATAAAGACGGCAACAAAGATGAGCACCTTTACGTCGGTTTTTCAAATGCTGAGGCAGCGATTGATAGCCCCAGCAATAGGAAACTGCACACGTTTCTATGCCGTCAAGCCGGTGGCAGCAGGTGATCATCTTATTCAAGTTAAATTTGTTAATAAACTAATAAAAACATACTTCCTAAGCTGGCAAGAAGAAAAAATTGGGAAAGCTTGGTCCCATTGTGGAGAAGAAAATCATTCCCGTGGAAACGGATGCCAACAAATTAGTAAACTATGTGTGCGGTAGCAACTATTTGAAAACGGGAGAGGATGTCAAGGTAAGCGGATTGTCCAGATACATAGAATTCGCTTCAATGTTAATATAACCATGCCCATTTAAAAGATTAAACCAGACTCGGAGTACCCCGACTGGCTGTGGTCCCTGAACACGGAACGCATAATCCCGCTGGACGAACTGGATCCCAACAGCAAGCAGTATTGGAGACGATTGAGGAAACTGGCACTGCGGCGTAACAACCAGCTCTCCAAGCTCAAGAAGTTCTAGAGTCCGTAGAACTCTGGTGTTATTGTTGCCTTTGGAGACTGGAGAACCGACCCTGAAATCGCACCATGTTGTTTGCCATGCTCTTCTGAGCAACAAGTGTGCAAATACTATGTTTTCTGCTAAAAACAAACCGCAAATACATATTACAACGTCTTACACTCCTTATCAAAAATCGAAGTGCTATAAAAGTCGTCGGGTTGCAAGAAGCTTCAATTCAGTGGTAAAGAAATGTGTAATGGAAAAGGCTTGGTCGTGCTGCTCCTCGGGGTAATCCTGATGGCAGTTTCTTCATCCGGACAAGGCAACTCCTCAAGTAAGTAGTTGCCATTTTTTTGTCCTGGATTATCAGAGCAATCCGCTTGCAGAGAAAGTTATCTGCTACCAGGGAACTTGGTCCGTCTACCGACCTGGTTTGGGCAAGTTCGGAGTGGAGGATATCGATCCATTCCTGTGCACCCATCTGATCTACGCCTTCCTGGGTATCGAGGAGACGGGTCAGTTGCGGGTCATTGACGCTTATTTGGATCTGGAGGACAACAGTGGACGTGGGAATATCAAGAGTTTTAATGCACTCAAGTTAAAAAACCCAGTGCTTAAGACGTTGGTGGCTGTGGGTGGTTGGAATGAGGGTTCTAAGAGGTTCTCTATTGTGGCCAGCGATCCATTAAAGCGTGCCAAGTTCGTAGACGATGTGGTCAGGTTCTTGCAACGCCATGGATTTGATGGTCTAGATTTGGATTGGGAGTATCCCGGCCAGCGACACAGTTTGGAGAACGATGATCGCTCGAACTACATAACGTTTTTAAAGGAACTGAAAGAGGGGTAAGCTTGGGTCGATTTTCCATTAACAAGCTGTTGTAAATCTTAAATGAGTCTTTCTCAGCTTGGACCCCTTTGGCTTTATGCTGACTGCTGCTGTGGGTTCCGCCCAGTTCTCCGCTGAGATATCTTATGACATTCCGGCCATTGTTCCTTATCTGGATTTTTTCAATGTGATGGCGTACGACCTGCACGGACCTTGGGATCCACTGGTGGGCATTAATGCTCCGCTTTACGGCTCTACAAGTGACACAAAAGATCTGACCGGTCGGCAGCAGCAGCTTAATGTGGATGCCATAATTAAGTATTGGTTGGAGGCAGGAGCTCCGCCAGAAAAGCTGGTTTTAGGAGTTCCCTTCTACGGACGCACCTTTACCTTAACCAGTGCCGAAGACAACCAGCCAGGATCTTCGCACATAGGAAAAGGAATAGCAGGAAATTATTCGCGCGAACCGGGTGTCCTGGGCTACAACGAACTCTGTGAACTGATGCAACAGGAGGAGTGGACTAGGAAGTGGGAACCGAAGCAGCAAGTGCCCTACGCCTTCAGGGAACGCCAGTGGGTGGGCTACGAGGACACGAGAAGTCTTTCTCTCAAGGCGCAGTATGTGATGGACCACTACCTGGCCGGCATTATGATCTGGTCCCTGGAGTCGGATGATTTCCGTGGCACCTGCGGTCAGCAAAAGTATCCTCTACTGCACGAGATCCATCGCGTGTTTTTCGGCGGCAACACTCCCTCTGGCTTGACCGCCGAATTAAAGGAGGACAAAATTGAGGGTTTTAGGTGCTCAGTTGAAGTTCCTGATGGATACATTCGTGATCCGTACAACTGCTCGAAATTCTACTACTGCAGTGGGGGCAATACCAACAACTTCGAATGTCCCACTGGCTTGAACTTTGATTTAAACACGAAGAGCTGCAACTACTCTGGATCAGTAAACTGCTAATATTTATTTTTTTAACAAAATGTACTCCACGTCTTTGTATTTCTTTGGAGCTAGTCAACGATTTTCAAATTTATCGGCATATTTTTTAAGCTGTAAACGGGCATGCCTGGTCGCCAGATGACAAAGTTCTGATCGCATTTGACCTCCTTGGCGGGACGGCAAATGAGTTGTTCCTCATCGAAGTACTGACCCTCCTCGCACTCATAGTAGATCCTTTCCCCGTCGTTGCACTCGTGGTATAACCGGCAATCCCATCCATTGCGCCAGAATCCATCTTGTGGACAAAGTCCAGAGGCTTCAGTTGTTGGTTCTTCGGTTGTAAGGGCATTCTTGTCTCCTAAGGCGGCGAAGATAACGTGGAGCAATCCATGACGTTCGCCACAATTGCCATGAAAGTCGTCCACATCGATGGTCCACGCAATGGCTCCGCCCAATTTCTGCTTCTGCAGCAGGTGCATCTTGGCCCAAATGCTTTGTCCGTTCTCGTAGCTCACCCATTGATCACCCTTCATGGCATAAGGCACCTTGGCCACCTGGTCGAACCTTCTGATCCAGTTGGACTCCTTCACACAAAACTCGTTGTAGGTCATAAAGCCCGGCCGGTGGGATAACTTCGTCCGCAAGCCTGGTCCTTTGCAGGGGGATCCCACCTCCGTCTGATTATTATCCATGGTGAACGACCGAACGAAGAGTGGAATACCCAGGATAAGTTTTTCTGGCGCCATTCCATGAGTTTTCCAGTGTTTGATGGCATCACTTACACTATTGTCTCCATTAAGCGGAGCATTGTAAACCAAACGGTTGCGGTACGGATCCCTTTCATCGTGCATCATTAGATGAACAAAATCGGAATTCTTTACTATATCTGGGATGTTGTAGCTCTCCAAAGTGCGCTTGTTTGTTCTTCCTGATACTGCCACCATAAGGATGAACTTGTGTTCACGAAGGCTGTCGAGGAACGATTGTTCTTAATAAAGTATTAAGCAAATCAGCTGAAAATCCTTACATTAAACTCAGTTTCTCTAGAAAGAGCACAAAGTTCTTCCGATCCTCTGGATATCCACCTTGCTGAGTGGGATAGCGCCAGTCAATCTGGACACCATCAAATCCCCACTTGGTCATGAAATCGATCACTGAAGTATAGAAGTTGTTTCTCATGTTGGGGGCGGCCACCATTCTTGAAAAGTGACTGGACTCCTCTTTCCATCCTCCGACAGTGAACAAAACCTTCTTTATGCTATCGACCTTCATGTTTTTGACACTGCTTAGCATGTCTGTAATATTAAAAGTGTAGAATTCACTTTCTTAATATTTTTTAAAGAATCCATAACTTTACTTACTCTTACCCAGCAGCAGAGGCTTGTCAGTAATCTTCAATTTACCCGTATCTCCATCCACACCTATGCCAGAACCCACTACCAAATGGGTACAAAGCCTGGAGTCCATGTTCCAGTCAAAGAACTGACTGCGCTCTTTGAAGTAGTAAGATGCCAAATCATATTGACAGAACACATTATCTGCAGGATCATTGGTTAACTTTATGATGAACTCCATAACCATCTACCTACACTCTTTTGCCAGACAGCCGCAAATCAGAAATATCGTTACCATAAAAACCGATTTTAACGAAGTCATGGCTAAAACGCATCTAACCAATTAAACTTAAAATTTTTAATACTTTTTAGCTGATTGCATTTACAACGAAATGGTCGAAGCCCTATTTGTAAGATTTGTTAAAATTTATCTTCAGACCAGTTTGTTTGTTTTTAGTTCCGTGTTGTATCTGAATGAGTGTCGTTTGGAAAATGGTTTAGAAAACCTATACAGTAAAAGCACCGAATACTTGATGGGGGTGGTTTGATAAAGAAAATAATCAAGATAAACGCTTCCGGGTTCCTTGACTTTGGCAGGTTCTGAAGAAATAAAGACACCTTTGTATTGCAAAAAAAATACACGGAGGTTAAAGTCTTTTTCTTAAAGTTACCTCACCTATGTGTACAAAGTCTAGTAGACAAGTAAATAAGATGTTGTTGTTATTGCGATTATCATTATTTCAATATTGAAATTGAATCATATGTGAACGTGGCCTATCTTGGACTTTATGGTTACGGTGACTAAATGGCTAATTGTAAATATTTTTATGAGAGAGCGCAAAATCTAATCGGAACTTCGTTAGACATAAATATGGATTTATACGATTACCACTTAATATACAATTCTCTGTGAGGGGCCACTCGAAAACAGTACATTTTTTAGATTATTGCAATTTTTTGGTATTTTCATCTGCTTGTTTATTTAATAGGGGCAATTGACCGCCGATGGCCAGTTGCAGTTCAAATTGGCGACATCGAAATAGAGCCCATCGCCGCATTGGAAATCGTAACGGGTGCCTCCGACACACTGGTAGTAGAATCTGCAGTCGCTGCTGTGCAGGAAGTAACCATCCTGGGAGCACTCTCCGCTGGAACCACCTCCGTTTCCACCTCCTCCGGGAGTGGGAGCCGGAGTGGGAGCTGGAGTGGGAGCAGCCGTGGGAGAGGGGGTAACACTTCCACCTCCGCCGCTGCCACCGCTGCCATCCTTGCCCAGAGCTCTGTTCATGGTCTTCAGCAAAGGATACGATTCGCCACAGAGGCCGCGGAAATCATCCGTCTCAATGGACCACATCATGGCACCCCCCAGATTGCGGGACTGCACCAACTGCATCTTCAGCTGGATGCTCTCGGGGTTGTCGTAGCCGATCCACTGATCACCCTGGAAGGCATAAGGAGCTCCGTTCTCCTGGTCGAACACGGTTTGCCAGTTGTTCAGACAGATCTCGTGGTAGCCCAGGAAACCATTCTCCCGGGTGTAGATGCCAGCTGATCCGGGGCCAATGCAGGAAGCTCCGGGCCAGTTCTGTGAGCTGTCTGACATCTGGTAGCTGTGGCCGTAGAAGCCAATGCCCAGAATCAGTTTCTCAGCGGGAGCACCTAAACGTGAAACATTTCTTGGTTTACAAACTTCCATGATTCTTTACTTAACCAAGCTTACCATGCGAAAGCCAGTAGTCAATGGATTCGGTAACCTCAGGCAGAGGAGCATTCAGACCCAGGTAACCGTCCAAAGCCATATGGAAGTCGTAGGTCATCACGTTGATAAAGGTTAGGTGCTGGGAGATGGCTGGAATGTCGTAGGAAATGCTAGCCGACTTCTCAGAGGCACCCACTGCAATACCCAGTTCCAAACCGTACTGGTCGAAGCTATCGGGAAATTATAGTTGTTAAAACCATACCAAAATTTATATATTTAACCACTTACGTTTCCTTAATCTCGCGCAGAAGGGTCACGAAGTTGACCTTATCCGAATCGCTGCCTCCTCGCTGTCCGGGATACTCCCAATCCAGATCCAGGCCATCGAAGCCATGCTGCTGAATGAAAGCCAGGGTGGTGGAGATGAAGGTGGCACGCTTGCCAGGATCGGCAGCCATGGCAGAGTACTTCTCCGATCCCTCGTTCCATCCGCCCACCACTGCCAAAATCTTCAAGTTCGGATTGCGCTGCTTAAGGGCAATCGTCTGACTAATAAAGCCTGTAACAAAATATGATAATAATGTTTGGTATCACTGGGGTAGCATTATTTAAACTTACCCAATCCATCATCCATATCCAGCCAGGTATCCAGGGACTTGAACTCGCCGGCATCGCTGATTCCGAAGAAGGTGTAGCTGATGTGAGTGCACAGGGAGGGATCGATGTCCGAGGGTGTGAACTTGCCATCCCCAGGACGATAGTTGGCCCAGGTGCCCCAGTAACAGTTGATCAGCTCTTCGGGATTAGTAAAATTAAATATAATTCTTTTCGCTGAAACCACCTACTCACTTTCACTTGTGGCCAATTGGCCGACGCAAAGGCAAAGAGCAGCCAGAGCCCAAATCGAGAAACACTTCATGATGCACTCAGTCCGTTTATGTTCACAATAGCTTCACGCACTACGGGTCTGAGTTTATATAGACCACTTTCCGGGCAATTCTTATCAGTGAACATTGAAAGCGCTGATAAATCGCCACTTCACTTAAGAAATCGGTGAAATAGAAAACAAAAGTTAATATATTGTTTTGGGAGAGAAAACAAAATCGACGGCCGATATCTGAACACTCGAATATTATATTATGCATATAAATTTAAATTGATTTGTATTATTTTGAGTGCATCTTGAGATTGGGATAATGGTACTTGTACCCCACTCGAACGCTTACTATGTCATCCATCCTGGATGATGATTCAAAGCTGTTGCCAACTTCTCATAAAGCCTCTTCATTATTAAAGTGTGCAATAGACATTCTTCCTAGAACAAATATAGGAGTGATCACATGCATTGTATGCTCATTTGGTTCTTCAGTGGAAAAGTGTCTCATAATAACGATATATACTTTTCACCTGAAATTACACGATTGCTTTACGCGTAACTGATAACTTCTGTCATAAATGAATATTTTGTAATTCAGTTTTATATAATTTTTATTTTCCACATATGTATTTTTTTGTTATCTATATATATAAAAATGGAGACAAAATATGTGCGCAATCGCATCACATGAAAACGGCTTGACCGATTTGGCTGAAAATTGGTAGGGAGATAGCTTAGAACCAGAAGAAGGTTTAAGCATAAGAAAATTTTGGGAAAACCTTCTGGAAAAGTCGCTAGCGGCTCAACAGATGTACACAATGTTGTATGTAAAAAAAAAGATCATAGCTGCGTTGATTTTGTGTATCGATGAAGTCGGTAAAAAAATATTTAAACAAAAAATAGAGCGAGCTTAAACAATTTGAAATAATGCCTGCTGTTAGACGAATAGGAATTGGACGTGCAACATTGACTATTATGTTGTTAAATTGTGTTGACCAGCGAAGCGGGCACAGGACCTCTAGTTTAAGGAATAAAAGAGCACATGCTCTCTAAGCTTGGCATTGAAAAATCAATCAAATCAATACACTCACGATTAAAGAATTGTGATCAACGAAAGTGTGATTAGCGAGGTTTTTAGGAATCGAGGAATTCGAGCCGCAGCAACTCTCTGATCCGCCGCCAAAGTCCAGTGGTCCCGGAAGTAAAGACACAGAGTGCCAACAAATCAAAGAAGCAGCAGGATGGCTCAGGAAGGTCAGGATATGCCCACATTCAAGTGCGTGCTCATCGGCGATGGTGGCACTGGGAAGACCACCTTCGTGAAGCGCCACAAGACCGGCGAGTTCGAGAAGAGGTACGTGGCCACGCTCGGAGTGGAGGTGCACCCGCTCATCTTCCACACCAACCGCGGCGCCATTCGCTTCAACGTGTGGGACACCGCCGGCCAGGAGAAGTTCGGTGGCCTGCGCGACGGCTACTACATCCAGGGCCAGTGTGCGGTCATCATGTTCGACGTCACCTCGCGTGTCACCTACAAGAACGTGCCCAACTGGCATCGCGACCTGGTCCGCGTCTGCGACTACGTCCCGATCGTCCTCTGCGGCAACAAAGTCGACATCAAGGACCGCAAGGTGAAGGCGAAGAGCATCGTCTTCCATCGCAAGAAGAACTTGCAGTATTACGACATCTCGGCCAAATCGAACTACAACTTCGAGAAGCCATTCCTTTGGCTGGCGCGCAAGCTGGTCGGCGATCCCAACCTGGAGTTCGTCGCCATGCCTGCCCTGCTGCCGCCCGAGGTTAAGATGGACAAGGACTGGCAGGTGCAGATCGAGCGGGACTTGCACGAGGCCCAGGCGACCGCCCTGCCCGACGAGGACGAGGATCTTTAAGCCTATTCCATAGTTAACTGAGAGAGAGAGATGGCTGGCTTGCACACACCACAATCCCATTTCTTTCCATTGCGTTGCTTTTGCCTGATCCTGAATTGTCTAAAAATCAAGCAAAATAAATGTTAAAATCGTATTTTTTTAATAAAAAAAAAAAATTGTACAAGTTGAATAGAAAATATGAAGATAGCCAAACACTACGTTTTTCTCTGTGATCATATTAATGGAAAACCCTACCAGCAATTAACAACAGTAAGTGCCATGTTAATGATAATATGCAAACAGACTATTAAAGATTTTTTTCTATTTATAGGAAAATACCCCAAGGCCTATTCCCAATGAATACACTTTTCGAAATAGCTTTTTCAATTTTTAAACATTTATTTTCTCCCATCGGAACCTCCTTCAAACCCAGCGAAGCTTCATGTTGATGGCCCTGAGCAGGGGGTAGTCCTCGCCGCACTGACCGCGGTAGTCGTCCGTCTCCAGGGACCAGATCATGGCACCGGCCAGGTTCTTGGACAGCAGGAAGTCCATCTTGTACTGGACACTCAACACGTTGTCGAAGCTCACCCACTGGTCACCGGAGTAGGCGTAGGGGGCGGCGTTTCCGTAATCGAAGACGGTCTTCCAGTTGTTCTGGCAGATCTCGTTGTAGCCCAGGTAACCAGTGGATCCGGTGTAGGATCCAGCGGCGCCCTCACCACGGCACGGTGCTCCAGGCCAGTTCTGGGAGGAGTCCGACAGCTGGAAGGAGCGTCCATAGGTGCCAACACCGAGGACCAGCTTGTTGGCAGGAGCACCCTGGCTCAGCCAGAAGTTGACGGCGTTCTCCACAGCCCACTGGGGAGCATTGAATCCGGTCTGGCCATCGGAGGCCATGGCGAAGTCGTAGGTCATCACGTTGATGAAGTTCACCTGCTGGGCAATGTTGGCAATCTCGTAGGAGCCGGTGGCCAGGGACTCGCCAGCACCGACAGCAATGCTCAACTCGTAACCATAGGGAGCGAAGCTAAAGGATATAACTAATTAGTTATGGGTTGTTCAAACACAAGGAGTTCCCCAACTCACGCTTCCTTCAGTTCACGCAGCAGGGTCACAAAGTTGGCGCGATCGTTCCAGTTTCCACCGCGCTGGTTGGGATACTCCCAGTCCAAGTCCAGACCATCGAATCCATGGTTGCGCAGCAGGTTCAGGGCGGAGTTGATGAAGTTCTGGCGCTTGTACCAATCGCCGGACATCGAGGAGTACTTGGTGGAGCCCTCGTTCCAGCCACCGACGACAGCGAGGACCTTCAGGTTGGGGTTCTGGTTCTTCAGGCCAACAGCCTGGCTGATGAAGCCCAGATCGTAGTCCAGCCAGGTGTCCAGGGACTGGATGTCGCCGTTGTCGTTGATTCCGAAGAAGGAGTAGCTCAAGTGGGTGCACATCCAGGGATTGATGTTGGACACATCGAACTTGCCATTGCCGCTGCGGTAATTGGCCCAGGTGCCCCAGTAGCAGTTCACGATGCCTAATATTTATTTTGGATAAATATATAACTTCTTGCAGGTGTTTTCCCTAGGATAATACTCACGTTCAGCACCGATCACCTGGCTCAGGCAAAGGACTGCGAGTAGTGCCAATAACTTTCCCATTGCATGAAATGCTTGTTGATTTTCACTACTTCCCGGGTTTTTATACCATTCCTTGCCTGTCTTATCACTAATCTTATCATTCAAGACGACTACTCCACTCGTAGGACAAATTTATTAACTAATCGTCGCGTGCTTCTTACTTTGAATTTTAATATTTATGTCGGGGACCTCTATCTGTATCTCAAGTTCAGATTCATTTTTGTTTACTGTCCCTTAAGTTGTAAATTTGTTCAAGAGGTACTTAATACTTAGAGCTCACTTTACTTTTTTTGCAAGCGGTAAGAAAGTATTCGTGGCCACGTTTTATGGTCGTGAAAATATTTAAAAGTATTTAAAAGAGAAAAATTGTTTAACTTTCATCCTATTACGTAAAAGCCAGAAACTCTTTCAAGAGGTTCTCCTATAAAATCATGTTTTCTTACAATGGCAATAAAAGATAGTTTTCTTCTTAAAATAATGGTCTTTGTCAGTTCGTTTTTAAAGTATCTTTTCTTTTTATCTTATAGATTTTGAATATATTATTAAACAATTTTTGGAAAACACTTTTGGTGTGTTTCTAACAAATAAATAACCGTAGGTAAAGGGTATTTTCTAGTCGGGCCCTATTGCTTATCATTTTATTGCTGATTGAAAGAGTCTTTCTGTCTACTTTGCCTAAACTTTTATAGCTATTAAAGTCCAGGTGTTCAATAGGAAAGATACTTCTACTGTGAGTCTCAAGAGCTTTGTAGATTAAAAACCCTTAGCTTCTGCATTTTACATTGACTTTTACGACTACATTATACCCTAGTAACATTCAACAACAGTCATCCAAATCAATAATTTTTTAAATTTTCCTGCCCCAATCATGCGATTAGATGAAACGACCTGCTATAGACTTCAAAAGTGAATATAATTAAATGCTTATCATTTCACAATAAATTAAAAGCTTATTAAAAAAATCGAATAGAATTTAAATATTGTTGAGATAGCGGAAAATTTCATTAGAAATAAATACAAAAATAGGCTAAACAAGTACCAATAAATAAAACATGTCACAAAGGTATTTTAGTCCTGATAGTAAATTCCTTGTAACTTGATTGCAATCTCTTGAAATGATTTTTGTTGGTCTTCTTATGGATTTTATGAGAGGCTTATAGGTTCATTGATAGCGAGATTAGTAAAGAGATTTTCATTGAGTAGAAGTAAATTATTTTGAATGGGTTCGATTCTAATCATTCCACTTTTCTTAAGATTAATTTCATTAAGGAATGTTTGCTGATAATTTCCATGATTGTGGAATGGCTTAATCATCTATTAATAGTCGCAATTGAACTACCCATATATCTTTAATTTAATAGCGTTCATAAAATCATTTTATTACATCTATATATATTTTTTTAAGCTATTCCATGATCTGAAATTATTAAATTTGAACACCTCTTTAATTTTGAAAAAAGGATTATGGTAATTAAGGATATGTTTTTATTTAGGCAACAATATTTACTGCGAAGCAATGGGCTTGATTGTATCATAACATACTATAAAGAAATAATAAATAGAATTTAAGACAAAGCCTCCTAAAAAAGCAAGAAGGCATTACATTTTAAATTAAAGAAAAACCTTTGAACAATACAACCAAAACGCAAACTACGATTTATTTATTAAAGACCCCTCAAAGAAGTTTAGAATTCATATGTGATATGTTACTTTCTTAAACATATTTATTGTTTATTAACCAATTCGGGTGAACAAAATAATAACCTTTTCGGCATCAAATAGAGATTCTTCAACAGTATTGAGTAGAAATGCAAATATAAATAAAATTTCTGCGACCAGTTGAACTGTAAAGCGCTCAGATTAACAATTGTGTTTCAGTGCATTGGACAAGCGATCCTTTTAGTTGCTTTAGTTGGCCACATAAATCTCGAACTCCTTGTAGGCCACCTCCTCGCCGCCATAGGGGATGTAGCAGCATCCATGAGAGGGCTGCACCTTTCCCACGGTAATGGTTCCGTCGTGGGTGGCCCTTCCAATGAAGAGTGGCTCACCCTCGGCGGTCTCGCCGGCGGGAAAAGCGTTGGGCGGAATGTTTCCGGCATCCACGGGCACCCACTGGCCACCGCCGGCGCAGAGCACCTCGTACTCGCCGTGTCCGTGCTCACCGCCTCCGTAGGCCACGTAGGTGACTCCGTGGGAGGGGTGCAGCTTGCCGGGAATGAGGTCGCTCTCGTGGCGGGCACGGGCAATGTACAGCTGCTCGCTGCCGTCGAATCCTCCCTGCAGGGCGTTGGGCGGAACCTCTCCGTTGGCGGCGGGCACCCAGCATCCTGGTCCGCTTCCTGTGGGCGCGGCGAAGCCAATTGCGGGAGCCGAGGGGGCGGCATCTTTAAAGACAAATAGGGATTAGGATTAATAATCAGTTAAAAATACAAATCAAAATGAAAGCAGTGTGATGAACCTTCGAAATACATATTTCCTTGATGTATCGATTTTTTTCTAACAACTCGGTTGCCTAAAGTATTATATAATTGAAGTAGTAGAGAAAAAAGGGTATGCCTGGAGTATTATATCATTGAAATAGTAGAAAAAAGAAAATAAATAAAAAAGCAGACAATGAGTTACATTGAATACCTATAGGAGAAAACATCACTCAAACAGTTAAGTATGACGAGTAAACTAATCAGGTAGAAAGAACAACTGTGCTATTGTCTTGACCGCAAATAGGGTATATATGGTGTTTTAAAAGGGAATGTAAAGATTCGCCTAGACTCACCATCGAGCAGCCAGGATCCGCTGGCACCCCATCCTGTGCAGATTCCCACGAAGTTAACCGGGAACAGACTGCCGGCATCGTAGGAAAGGAAAGCGGCGGCGTCTCCTTCACGTCCGACGGTGATGACATTGTCGTACCAGCGGATCCAGAAGCCGCGGAACTCTCCGGCGTCCAGGATACCCGGAGTGGGCACCTCGGCGACCTCGGGCTTTTGGCGGTCCTTGCGGATCACCGACTTGGTGTTCTCCCATCCGCCCAGGAAGATCTCGAAGATCGGTCCGTTCTCCTCGGGAGCCGGTGTGAGGGCCAAGTGGGCATCCTTGGGAGAGCGCACCTTGAAGGTGAAGACTCCTCCGCTGGCCGGGAAGAATTGGTATTCCAACTTGTCGGGGGTGTTGATTTCTGCAAACAAAAAACGAAGAAGGTAAGAGTATATTTTATAGGCAACTGTACCAAGATCTTTGAGCGGTGGAAAAGTTTTGAGGTTTGAGTGAACAACCTCAAACATCTCCGGCAAACTATAAAAAAATACTTCAACTGGAAAGAATTCGTGGCTATTTATATGTTTGGGCGGTACCTACATATTTATGTAGATATACATATATCTGAATTTTTAGCGTCTGTTTTTGTTTTCGCTTTTTTGTTAGCGCCATTCGCATGATGTCATTTAGATCGCCATGGGTTCGTTGCTAAAAAATATTGTAGCTCATTCCACTCAAGCTCAATTCGAGTTCTGAGCCGGCTCTACGGGGTCTCGAGCGACAAACATTTGCCGAGAGATATGAAGGTGCGATTGTGTTTATTGTTTTTGCCAGATTACACGAATTGTTTCTCAAGCAACATTATTTCGCATGACATCATTTTAGGTTCATCTCCCGTCTGACCCTCAGGTCACATTTGCGGCATTCTTATTGATTATTGCCAGAGTTCAAGGCGCAGACTTCTGACTCACCACAGATGCTCCATATTTTTGGACATTTGGCTGTATGACCGCATCGAGAATCAATTTAATAGGTCGTAAATAACGCTAAAAAGGTAGCAGCAATATCCCAAACTTTATTACATTGTCTGCGGGTTCCCGTTAATTGAATCTAGACGATCCCAAGGTGAAAGTTGTGCCGTCAGCCCACTTTTCGTATATATTTTACTGGTAAAAACCTGACACTGTGGGACCTTCTTCACTAGATAAAGAATTTCTATAATTTATTTACTTCTGATGTTCCGATTCTAGGAATCGCTGACACAATTCGATTTTGGTCGTGGGCCAAAAGTTTCGGTCTATCGTCCGCGATTCTCCCTATGTCTAAATTCACCCAATTATCCATTCCATTATTATGCACTCCACCCACTTGGGAACTCACCGATTGGCATGATTGCTGCTTCCACTTAACGTTGCTCGCTTACTGAGATTCTGATTCAAACTGCTCCAACGGAATCCAAATACCGGCGAGGTAAGCACTGCTAAAAAACAAGGGGGCAGTGTGAGAATAAAAGCTTTTCGAGCTTTGCTCTCTCTTTAAATGTGAGAGATCGTTGGCTGCCTAGAAAGTGGGCGACTGACTGTACCAGCTTTAAATGGTTACTTATTAGCATAGGGTTCTTAAGTTTATAGCCAGTTCCTTCCGCTAATGTTGTATTTTATTTTAATTCACTTGAAAATGCTTACCAACACCATAGTTCGTTTTAATTTAACGGAATTTTTATATTAATATATATATTTATTATAATAATATATCAGATAGAATCCGAGTAAGAAATACAATACATTCTTTTGCTCTTGGTCTTGGCTTTATGCTTATAAAATCGGTCTGCTAGTAATCTTTGATATACTAAGTATTGCTTATAAAGTTTCAGGTTAACGGTTGGGCACCTATAATTTTTATTAGGGTATTCAGACTTCAATGAGTTAGATTTGGTACCTAGTTTTGCCTAGCACGTCTATGACTCAGGTTGGCAAAAGCTACTGCTGATGTCATCAAGTCAAAACGGAAGCTTTTCAATGCTGGTATGTTTTAGTAGAAAGCATATTACCTTTTGAACTCAGTTTGTCAATAACGGATTATCGTACTTATGATAAATAAATAAATTAGGAAAAACGCTTTACATTAAACTTGCAATATTAAATAAACCTTCATTTTAAACAAAACCTATTACTGTCCCGCGAAGGTACTTCCTATTCGGTGTTTCAGATTTTCCTATTCGATGTCTGCTCTTTTTATTATGTTTTGGCGTTGTTGTCGTCACTTATTTTGGCGTCATGTGGCGGTTTTGTTTTGTGTTGTCACATGTCCAACCAAACCAGGGGAACTAAGCTAATGCCAATGATTTCACCGAAAGGGTCGAAATTGTTGATGCTGACATAATGACTACAACAACAATAAAAAGGTTTTCAATTCGGTCATTATTTATTTATTGCGGTGTCTGTTCACAGATTTAAGAACCATGATTGCTACCTCCATATTGTGGCATACTTTTAGGACGCCGTATATATGTGACATTTAAATGCTTTGGACCAACATTTTAGGGTGTTACGCTTCTTTATTCCATCCTGTATCGGGTACGCGAATTGTCTTACTTTACGTCACTGCTGCCTTTTTCTTGGCTTCTCAATGTCAGTCGGTTTTCTTTCGTTTCGCCGGTTGGTCGCACTTTGTTATTAAAAAAACGTGCATGCGCAGAACTTTGCCACGAACGGGAATTCTTAGTGTGAAATAAATAAATTGTTTATTTGTGTCTCAGAACCGACTAGCCGTGCCAAATTGTCTTGTGATAACAGTAGATCAATTGCTCACGCCGTGCAACTTGGGGTATTTATATCGGAGACACCTGAACACACATCCAAACATTCTTTGAACAGCGGCAGACGAGTAAACAAACAATAAACTGAATAAGCAGGCTTTCTTTTATTGTTAACTTTGGTCTTAGTAGATCATTTTACTGGAGAGGCTTAAGGTTTCCCTCGGTTTGCTGGCGCAATGCAATAGATATTATAAACGAGAGCCCTCGCTCCAAACAGATATTATAGCCGGCTCATATATATGATGCTATATAACACAATTATAAGATTTACTGAGTCTCTTTGGCACTCAGTCCATATTTTAGCGTCCATTGGAACAATCGTGCCGTCTTTGTTGCTGAACGTGATATAATGTACACAGCTATGTATATCATATAGCTGCCAAAAACCACGTCAGAAGAGGATATTAACTTATTATATTTTCTCAATTTTTGCGTAGACCTATCAAAAATTATTAAACATTTTCAAAACGAAAGAAAACCGTGGATGTTTTAAAACATCCACATTATACCTTAATCGCTAAAACCAACTGCATTAAGTGGAATTAATTGCAACTGCAAATACAGAACATTTCATCAACCATGTATATCTAATCTTTAAACTGGCAAACAGAATACTTTTTCCCATTGACGAGCCTCCAAAATGAATAAGGCGCAGATAAGCGGACAAAACAAGTTAACCTTGTTGACACTTTCCCATTTAGCTTTATTGTCCAGTTTGCGTAACTGGTGACCTCTGGAATGCTGTACCATCAGCCATTCAATTAAGAAATATTTCAGTGGTGAAACAAGTTAATTCAATTCAATTAACATTTCCGCTCCCGACTTTTGCGACATTTGTAGAGACAAGTGTAAATCAGGATGAGTTCACTCAATTGGATCAAATTGAGACTCAGTACCAGCCTCCGACCACTAGATTTTCTCGAAAGTGTCAACGGCCAATTGAGCTTTAAGTGGCCTAGGGCAATCAACTTGGCATTAACCCCAGATGGAAGAGCTGAAATTTGTACTTAAAAATAGAAAATTGAATGATATTATTCAATACTAAAAAATTATTTAGAAATGTTTAATTTTTTCAAATCATTTTCTTTTTATTATAAAGTTTTCGTAAAAATATAAAAAGGGTTAAGTATGAATGCAGATGAAATCTTACTAAGGAAAGCAAAAGTGAAAAGCTAGCAAAGATAACGTAATATTATCGCTCATCCGCCCTGTGGCGCCACGTGAAAAATAAGTAGTTCTTATGAAATCATTCAGCCAGCCCAAAACCAAAACAGCTGAAAACATAAAAATAAACAAAAATGTGTTTGTGTATGTAACGCTGTCTGTGTGCATGACGAGCCCCCAATACTGCTGAACTTTGATAGTGGCCTACGTGTTTTAAGTTTATAAGCCTGTATAAGTGTGTGTGAAATGTTAAAAAACTTGTTTGACTTTACTCTCTTAATTTGAAAACAGCTAAGAGGAAAGAGATCAGATCGTGATTCGACAATTATGGCTATTGATTTGACTTCGGAACCCTTTGATATTTATATTTAACCTGTGATTAATACAACTCCCGTGTGAAAATGGAGTTGTTGGCATGTGGTTCCGATAAGTAATGCTTATCTTTTGTCTTTCAACTGCTTTCGTATGCAGGTGTAGTAAATGTGTGAGTGTTCGAGAGTGGTTGCCCAAAGGTCACAGTCGAAGGTCGTTGGTATTTCGAGACGAAAACGTGCTGTTGTTTGGGCGAAACTTGGCAATCTCTAAAGAGTCTCTAGACTGGCATAATTTTCGGAACCGGTTTGTCTGGCAAAAAACAAAATAGGGTGGCAGAAAGTTATCCGGCAATTGGCAAGGGCACCTTGGGAATGACTCAAATATGCAAAAAACATATCTATTAGACAAATCTATGTTAGGTTCCTAAACATTTTGTTTTCGTCTCTTGTCATTGTTACTGTCAACGCGTCAGTTTTTAAATGCAATTGCGAATTGCATTAAGGACTGGAAGGGAGGTGCGATTTCAAAGATGTTGGAAGGGGTGAATAATGGACAAAGTTCGCAAAACGAGGAAGTGTGTGTGGAGAGAGAAATCGTGACGAAAGCAACACACACAACAAACGATCTGGTAAAATTCTCTCTCTACCAAACTCTTGGACTTGTGTGTGCGTGAGTGGTCTTTTATCACAACAAGAGAAACCAGCAATAACCACGCAGCTCGCTCTCGCACTTTTTCTCTCATGCACGTTCGCCAACAGCTGTCATTTCACACTGTAACAAATAAGTTGCTCCCAAATAAAAACTCTTTTGTGTAAGAGCAATGATCACTTACGGGCAACAAGTTCGGACAAATTGTATTGCCTACTTTTTGGAAAGCCTATTCATCATAATAACTGGGACTTCTAAAATTATATTTTTCTTATTTATCTATAGGTCCCAGTACTCGAACTCATGCTTCCAACATTTGATTACATGAATCAATAAAATAACCCAAAGTATGTTTCATTTGTGTGCAAGACTCAATGATTAAATGGTTTTAAATAACCTTTTTATTTTTGTCGGATTATTCATATGTACATGTATACAGCTTAACTTATTTGAAGTTGTTTAACAATGACCTAATTATCTTAGCCTAAAAACTAACCTTGTGTTTTCTTATTTTAGAATTTAGCAGCATGGAATATACAAGTTTAGAAGTGAACCCTTTTTAGAACCCTCTGGACTGACAGTGTATATCTCGCCGATAAACCCGGTCGCTCTCTGTGCGGTTGCTATCCAAGTTTTCGATGTGTATATAGGTTTTCAGTGTGAGAACAAGAGCGTTAACCCAATCTGTAGAGCGGAAAAGCGCGAAATTCGCTGAGCGAAAACTATATAATAACCGTAAGTTGCACGGACGTGATTAGTCTCGTGGCGCTGATCGAAGGCAAAAGAACCAAGCTACGCTGAAAGAAAAAACGGCAGTGATCGAACCGAGTGATAAATGCAAACAACGCATATTGAAGTGATAAACAAGTGGCAAAAATAAACAAACCATTTTAGCTAAATTAAAATCTGTGCTACCCGTCCGCAACCTTGCGACAGTATCCAAATTTATCGCAACATCGGGGAGCAACTTTCTCAGCCGCAATATGTCTACTCCAGCAAACCCCTCAAGCAATCACAAAATGAACGGAAATGGGTGAGTTTGTTTAAATAGTTTTGATCGACTGCAACTGGCGTATTGCATAAGTCTGCAGAATGTGCAGTGCTGCGTTTGCCAACCGAAGACATCTGTTGTCTAGATACCCGCTTTCACTTTCCTGGCCGCCAAATATCTGGCAAATGTCTCGCCAAAGTGCCAAAGCTGTATATATAGCCACGTATAGTGAATAGTTTTATTTTTGACCAACGCTGTTTTGCCGTTCGGTGCCAATGCCAGAGTTTTATTCGATTTTGTTTTCTTTTATCTCTTCTCACGCACGCTTACGTTTGCAAATCTGCCGGCGAGCCAAAATATCATCTTGTTTTATCATACTTGTTTTTTTGCAATTAGTATAGCGCTTTGATTTTTATTTTGCATTTGAAGGAGCTTTCATTTGTCATAAAAACGATGGCGAAAAAAATTGTCATATTGCAAATGTTGAAAAATGACAAACCAATTCTTCTGTATTGCAAATTTTTTGTTATATTGTGTACAAAATTTCTGTTCAGTTTAAATTGCTTACAGTTCTAGGCCATGAAAGGTGTTTCTTCATATATCTGTCGAATGAAGGTACCGTTGGTTCATGTGAAAAGAGGGAGAAATGTTATTTTAACTAACCATTAACTAAAAAAAATCATATCTGTATCGTAAACGCTAAATAAATCTTTCGAATTTTTAGCATCAGTGCTGATTTTAAACAAATAGTAAATATATCTTAGTATTTAATATCATACAATGCACGATATACTATAAGGGTATACAAAGTCCGCCGTCTCATTAACGACTTCGCTAATTTTTGCCTTTTGTTTTGCTTCTGCTCTGTGTTCACAAGTGTCGCCCATGGAAAATAGTTTAAATATTCCCACACCGTTAGTGTGAAGTGGCCAACTGCTATTTTATAAAATTAAAAAGTATACCAAAAAAGGAATAACTTCTAGTTATGATATTTCGTGTCAAAAGTGCAAAAAACATACACATTAACAAGGCAATTACAAGCAAAACACATTAATGAAAACCAGTAGTTGAGCACGTGTCTTGACTTAAGTCACATTCGCCCTTGCTCCTAAACGTTTGAATTCTATTGGGCACGAGCTGAAAAAGGTGCGAAATGTTTACTTAACCTAAGCGAATCCCCAATATTTTTGTAGTTTGTACCGGTTCAAGGACAAGCTTACCGGCAAAAGAATTGTGAACATTACGATGTGTTTTCGTTATCAGTTCCCCCTTGTACGCTTATCAATCAGTCTAACGAGCCCCTCCTTTTGCGACTGTGGTTATTATCTTTCAACCGTTACTTGTGACATAGTTTTGGGAACTCAAAAATATGTTGCATACTTTTAGGTTCCTCTTGCATATTCAAGAACGCATTGTGTAAGTTACGAAATGTGTGTTTGTGGTGTAGAATTAAAGCTGACTTTTATTTCTAAAAAAAACTTTGATCGCATATTTATACAAATTTGTATTTTTTTGACCCAGTCAATCAATCTATCAAATTATAAAATTTTATTCAGGCAAAAAAAAAAATTTCCCACATTTATTTCAGGTTAATATAAAGTACTAATCCGTCTCACAAGCAAGAAAAGTGCTTTTGTAATCGGTCAGTTAATAATTTTTTGTTACATCAACAAATAAACGTAACTAAAAACTATTGTGATTTAGAAGCCCCCATATGCAAATACAGACACTGGGATTTTGATCTGGAAATGTCGTGTATATACCAGATTCTCCCATAAATAATGTCCGTTCTCAGAAAGTCAGATTATTTATGTTCGACAAAAAACCGCAAAGCTTTAAATTATTCTAACTACACTTTTTAGATCTTGGCTAGATAGCTATTACTATTAACGGAGTGTTTTATTTACTCACTAATGCTAATAAACGTTATAGGAAATTGTTAAATCTGTCTTACCACCTGTAGTTTGTCACGAATTATGTATAGATTATTATGGATAACCCTTTTTCCGATTAACGCTGATTTGCGATTGGTCGCAGCTTGGTGGTGTGTCCACGGCGTATACGTAATATGAAACAGGTTAGCCCGTTAAGATCTAATTGCAAGCAGCTGTTGAGCAATACCGACAGTCACGTTTACAGATCTCTCAGGGAGAGCAAATTCGCCAATTAATTTATTATCATCTGATTTTCTTATCAACACAGACAGTTAAACAGACAGTCTGACAAGGCATCACTTTCAGAAAGATGCCCTCTAGTACAGAATTTGAATTCGCATCGGGTCATGCGTCTCATCAAGTGTCTGTTCCGATTTTCCCATTTGCAGGGTTTCCATTGTTATTTAAGTAATTTAAATCAGTTTGCGACTAGAAGATGCTCAACCGATCATCACAGGCTCAGGTGAGGAATGACAGACTTTTTAATCAGTGCTTGGGTTGCTCCGGCACGTCCAATACATAATATTTGATAATATTATTTATGGGTCGAACTAAGTCACATGATCTTGTCTAACCCAAAAAGCAAACAGTTTAATATGTTGGTATGGTAAAAAAGAGTTCACTCTTTTCTTCATATTTATTTATCAAAAAATTTTCACATTAAAGTTACTCAGAGAAGTACCTAATAATTTCCTTAACAATTCTTAAAGTTAGTAATTTCTTTGAAGTTGAACTCAATTTTTCTCATTAGATCTATGAAACCAATATGTACCAATAAATTGGAAATAAAATTTATTAATTAAAGAATTTTTCGAGTACAAATTTGTTCATATACAAATTTTTTTCAGTAAGATAGGTTTGTTGTGAATTGTTCTACATTTAAGAGCCAATTTCCCGTCTATCTTCTTAGTTAATAATCTTTCTGTCAAATCAAAAATAATTTATATTAGTTTTCGCAGCGATCATAATTTAGTGATAAGCCAAGGGGCCTTATATACCACGTCAATTCGCTTCATTGTGATCCTATCTTATCGCCCTATTTTTGAGATTTTCGAAGAGAAAAGCTTAGGAATTTGGTATAAAGTATTTACGATTTCCTTGCTTTGCAAAGCACCACGATATTTTTCCTCTAAATAGCTTGCAAGTGCTTTACCACTTGCATAATTTTTTTACTACCTGTCAATCACTGGGCGTGTTAAATATTAATATTATTTATTTACATTTAAAAGTAAAAAGGCAAACAGAATACGCTTATTCAGCTTCTTTCTCACAGGGGAGAACTTGGAAACTCTGATCTGCTTGAATCTTTGCGAAAATCTTATTTATATTTAAATCTCCGGCACTTGTCTTGAGACAGTCGGATCGTTGCCTTCAAACGCTCAACAACGGTCAGGTGCTGTCGAGCACTGTTTTTGATTAGAACTGAGAATATATATAATCCGGACATATATAGTAATCAGGTGCACAATATAGATAGTGAGCCCGGTATAAAAACTCGTACTCAACTGAAGCAAATTGCTAACAATAAAAGTGTGTGAAGTGCGAAAACAGACTGGAAATTAATTGGAAACAAAAAATTATAAAACAATTGTAATTTAGTGAATTTAAATTGGCTTGGAACTCTCAGGCAAATGAAAAACTTAAACCGCGAGCGAACATACAAATGCAATTAAATTATAATTTTCAATACAAATTGCTGTGGTTGCTGACATTTTTCCCCGATCTTTACTGATATTTTCCCTGAGTATAATCACATTACAAGCGTCGAGTCGCTGTATTTTTACTCGCCGACTTGCGGTGTCAGTGATCTGTGGTTCCCGGGTGCTTAACATTCGAATGAGCTGTACGACAAAAATATTACGTTAAATAAAATATAAACGATTCCCTAGTATCATTCGTCTCGTTCTTCGTCTGACAAATTCGCCTATCGATTTCAAAAATTATTCCGTCTTAATAAGTCCAAAAAAATATATACAATAAAATATAGATATATAAATAATATGCATTTGAAAAAGTTGATCCAGCCAGACTGGAAGATGTACTAAACCTGTTCAATCTTTCTGATGTTAATTTCAATGGTTTTTTTTAGTTTAAAACAATACTAAAAACTTCTGCGTATCAGAAACGAAATTAATTTTTTATCAATCCCCCTGAACTTGTCCGAAAACAAGTTTTGTTGCACTAATGAACAGATTGGGAGTGATCATGGTATTCATTGTTGGTTATTTAAGCTCAAGAGCTTAAAGGTGATAAAGAGGCCTTTATGGCGCAGTATTCCAAAAGAAAATTCCGTCAGTCAGGGGTTATCTTAAGATTCATTTTCTACATCAATGCAATAAACAACTCTCTTGATAAAGATTATTCAATGAGTACTCCAGTAATCTTTAAGATTAATTCAATGTCTTGGTTCTTAAAAATAATCGATAAACCTTTATTGTCCACTTAAGATAACAGATTAAAACTCGCAGTGTATAATTATATTATATTACTAGGTCAAAACCTTTGTAATTAATATAGTTGTAGATTAAGTATAAATCCCTAATCGAATTACCAGCTAATTTTGATAAGAGTTATTGAAAAACACATTATATTTACGTTAAGTTAATTGAATTAAAGCGGTTTAAAGTAATTTTTTGTTGTAAACTGAAACCTTTTTTCGTTTCAATAACCTTTTGAAGGTCTTTGTATCAGTATTTGAACCGTTAATCAAAGCAAAACGCACAGAATCTAAAACAAGTTAATTCAACCTGATGCAGGCTTCTTAATGACATTTCCAGTTTTTGTATTTGTTTCTTCGTTTTCCTCTCGGATTTAAACATGTCATACTACTGTCAGGTATTTGTTTGAAATTTTTGGTTCAGCCATCAAACGGACCGTGCTTTATTATAGCTAGTTGAGCGATTAAGTTAAACGGCAATTATACGAATGCGTTGAATGGCCCACATAATGATTAATATTGTCCTTGAATCATTTTGGCAAAGTTTTGTTTTTGAGCGGAGTTCAAGAATCGGAATCAACGGAGTTGAAAAGCGCGTTTGGGTATTGTTTTCGAACAAAGACGTCACCTGGATTCACTTATCGCTTCCACCGATGACGACAATGACGATATTTAATAAAGGTCTATATAAACGATTTATAAAGTCAGTGGCGAGCATAATAACCCAGATGAATGGTGAGAGTTTGAACGGCCATTCAAGAAAATTTACTTATTTCGTTCACGCGCCTTAAACGCTGTTCAAATAATAGTTATGCCATTAATCTGATATAATCTTTGGGGGTCTCTTATTGCATTTTTATGATTTATATGGAATTTATTCGGAATTATTTGTTTTCTGGCTATGCGGAATCGGAAGTTCCCTTCTGGGGAACTTTAAACAAGCAATATTGTTGATACAATAACGTTTTGACTTTAATTGTTAACTATTTGGAAACGCAAGGCACGTAACTCAGCACAGCTGTAGACGCCTGATATTTGTCATCCACGGTTCACATATTGGTATAAAAAGCACCTTACAAATATCCGTACAAATATTGGTTTAATGCTTGGTATTCAAAAAGGTCGGAAAAAAACAAACAATACTTAAGTTGTCTTGCTACGATCTAATGATCAATGCGATACACTTTTATATGCCTAATTGCTTTGCTAATGGAATCATAAATGTTAACTGCTTGTGACGTGTACCAAATCAATGATTTAGTCGCACCTGCTAGTTGCTGTCGTCACAGAAACCCATAACAATGATATTCTCTGGGGGTTCGTTCTCTTTCTGGTTCTCACTCTCGTAAGTCTCAGTTTAAATTGCACAATTGTTCCGTTTGTTTTAGATTCCCTTTGTTTCCCGAGCCACAGTGTTATATCATTCTACAGCGATGATCCCCGATAAAAGTAATTCATCATACGCTTAATGTTGCTTAATGTTCTATAAGATATATGTTGTGCAATCTGTCACATAAACTATCTGGGCATTACAGGTTTGGAGGGAAGACTAAAAATAGAAACACAGACTAAGTTCGCTTTTCCAATGCATTATCATATTTATATCTGCACTTTAAATTTATTTTGCGATTATATCTGTGTCCCGTTGTTAATCTCGCAAAAGCAATCCTTATTCAGCGAATCAGCTCAATTAAGATTCGTTAGGTTCGCACTACGTAGAATGACATTCATGCAAAACGGCGCAATTCCGGTCCATTATTTGGGGCCAGACACGTGTCCGTAACACATAACCCATCCTAATTATAGACATTAAAAGTTAAGTTGAAGTTGATATATTCACTGCTTTTTCTTTGGTGACCCCAAATTTTAGCCATTACGATTATTTTAAACTCGCAAATGCAATGCAAATTTCTGGAACATCGGGCCACATTCATTAACTTTCTGGATAAATGGTTTCCAAGAAATTCCAAGCCCAGTTCTTCTATCCTTATCATAAGTGGAGCATTGCCAATTAGCATTAAAACTAGGCCTAAAATCCCCAAAATTGTTCGTTATCAGAAATACCTTGGCATTACAGTGGGACCTTCTCCATAACAAACATAATGAAATGCAATGAAGCAATTAATATATTCGAGCCATAATCCATCAAATGATGCGGGTGCCGTGTGAAGCAGCATTTAATAACTGATATACTTGTGGATATAGAACTAAAAATACTAATTTCAAGGCTCAGAGGTGCCATATTAAATATACAACCGGCAGTTGTTCTTATGGGTGTGCCAAAAACCCAATTTCCTGCCCTTTGCCACTGGGAAACTCTATAAATATAAAGACTAGTCCAGTTCGCCAGATGAGTGAGATGAATGCCTATATGTGCACGAGACTTGCAGCAAGTGAACCCGGCAAATACATTTGCAGCGCTTCTAGTTTGTGGCCACCTTTGACGATTTAACGTTTTAAAAATAGACAGAACGCGCCCCCAAAGCGCGATCGTCGATCGAGCGACCCAGCTAACCCCGCTAACCCCGCTCTGCCCCTTCAGATCCGATCACTTGGCTCCAGATCTCACCTTGGCCCGCCCGATGATCGTTCGTTTCGCCGATCGGTCGTCGTCGCACTGTGCGTCGCATTCGTAGATTAATTTAGTTTTTTATAAAAATGGAATCGAGCGAAACAGTTAGAAGTATTCTTGCGCTGACTGCCGCTGGTTGTGCTTGTGTTCAGATCGAACTGGCGGATCGCAAGCATATCCAAAACGCGAAAGGATATCCAACTCAGCAACGCAGTAATTTGTATTGTCATTCATACAGATTTAAAAAAAAAGAACTGATTAATAAGTCGCAGAAGAAGTGAAAGGATTTTTGTCAAGTGCTATGTTAAAATTAGTGATATTCAACCTGCTCCTTGTGAGCTGGAGTTGCCTGGCCTTTGTGACGCAGGCAAAGTCCTACGGTTCTCCCGATCTCGACACTGACAATGATAATGCCATTGCCACCGCCGAGGAGGAAGCACAGGATCCGTTTGCAAGTTGGTAAGTTTCTGCAAAAGACTTCCGGACTCTGATCTTTAATTGGCGGGTCTGGAGCATTCATGTATGCAAAGTGCTACCAAGCTTTCAGCTTGAGTGCTTTCCTTTCCCAGTGCCATAAACGTGACGTGTTGGGTATTCGTGCATTAGCTTTAGTCGTATCTGATCAAGAGATATACGATTCATCGATGCTTTGGACAGGTGTTCATTTAACCAGCACCACCTGGATACTCGGCCAGTAGCGGTTTTATATCCATTTAACTCGTGAATTGCTCGCACTAATTAGTGCCCGCGGTTTGTGTACGATGCTATACTATATACGGGAACAGCCGATTTATATGCTCTAACTTATTACGTAATCCGGGATTTTTTGGCACAGGCTGAGCAAATAAAATGTGGATTGAATAAAAAAAATCCCACCACAAAATGTGTAACATGTTATACAGAATAAATAATAAATTAAATTTAAAATTATTTTAATTAAATAAAATAAATCAACATTGCGAATTATGATAAATCATAGCAATATTATTCATAGAAATCAACAGCAAGTGAATGTGGAATACTTTCTTCTCTTTTCTAGTGAAATCTACTGCTATGGCGACCTATTGCACACCATTCAAATGGCTCAACTTTTCCCGGATTCAAAGACGTTTGTGGACATGAAACTGAATAATTCGCCCGATAAGACGCTCACGGACTTTAGAGCAATGATGGAGACCAAAAACAACACGCCCAGCAGAGATGATCTAACGAAGTTTGTGGATGTAAGTGGAATTGAATTGTGATTCTCAGGCAGAAACTAAATGGATCCGCTATTTCTTTCCAGGAATACTTCAGTCCCAAGGGCACTGAACTGGAGCTGTGGGATCCCACGGATTGGAAGGAGAATCCCAGCTACCTCGATCGCGTTTCGGATCCGGATCTAAAGCAGTGGGGCGTGGAGCTGAACAACATTTGGAAGCAGCTGGGTCGCAAAATGAAGGACGATGTGCTGAAGAATCCGCAGTACTACTCCATTATCCCTGTGCCAAACCCGGTAATCATTCCCGGCGGTCGTTTCATCGAGTTCTACTACTGGGACTCGTACTGGATCATCCGTGGATTGCTGTACAGCGAGATGTACGACACCGCCCGTGGAATGATTAAGAACTTCCTGTCCATTGTGAACCGCATCGGATTCATTCCGAACGGCGGACGAGTTTACTACCATGGTCGCTCCCAGCCGCCACTTTTGACGGGAATGGTCAAGTCATACGTGGACTTCACAAACGATGACAAGTTCGCCATCGATGCTTTGGAGGATCTGGAGCATGAGTTCGAGTACTTTGTGAATAACCACACGGTGGAGGTGAAGAACCACAGCCTGTGTGTCTACCGCGATTCGTCGACGGGTCCACGACCGGAGTCCTACAGCGAGGATGTGAAGACTGGCGAGAGTTTCAGCACCGATGCGGAAAGGGAGCTCCACTACAGCGAACTCAAGGCGGCGGCTGAGTCGGGAATGGACTTCAGCTCCCGTTGGTTCATCAACGATAAGGGCACCAACGAAGGAAATCTCACTAACCTAAGTACCAGCTTGATCGTGCCCGTCGACCTGAACGCCTATCTCTATTGGAACGCCAAGCTGATTGCTGAATTCCACTCCAAGGCCGGCAACACAAAGAAGGTTATCGAGTACGAAAATAAGGCCGAGAAGTTCTACCAGGTAAGTGGCATTAAATTGAAGAAGATTATTGTAGCAGTGAGCATATTACTTCGAAATATGTTGCCTACCTAAAAGGGTAAAAAATGGGTGTCGAGTTACTCAATGCATACCCTAAAGCAGTATTTCCCAAAGTGTGGGTCGCGACCCACTGGTGGGTCGCGGGTAGATTTTTGGTGGGTACTAATTGCCATATAGATCTTGCACTTTTTTGTGTAGATGGGTCGCGGTCCCGAAAAGTTTGGGAAACACTGCCCTAAAGTATTATTCTATTTATAGTCAGAATTGTAAATGCGAATCTTACGAATACATTAGTCAATGTTAAAATCGATGAAGTAGTTGCTGTACAATTCATACTTTTTTTGTTGAAAACCCAATTTATCATTCATGTATACATAAATGTTATGAAGCTCCGAATATAAATATGAATGAATTGTATGAAGCTCCGAATATAAATATGAATGACGGCTGTCGTCATTGGTGACTCATAAAAAAAGCTTACACAAATTTTATTAAACTAATTGCATACTGGAAATAATTCATTACAGGGCATCCAGGAAGTGCTGTGGAACGAGGAGGCCGGTTGCTGGTTGGACTACGATATGAAGAACGAGAAGTCGCGCGATTACTTTGTACCCACCAATTTGTCTCCGCTGTGGGTTAAGGCCTACAATATCTCCGACTCGGAGAAGATCTCGGCTTCGATTATGGCCTACATTGAGAGGAACAAGCTGGACTCATTCCCCGGTGGAGTTCCCAATACGTTAGCCACTCCCGGAGAGCAGTGGGATTACCCCAATGTGTGGGCGCCAATGCAGTACATCTTGGTCGAGGGTCTGAACAATCTCAACACTCCCGAGGCCAAAAACATGTCCAAGAAGTGGGCCATCCGCTGGGTGAAGTCAAACTTCAAGGCCTTCAGCGATCAATTCCATATGTACGAGAAGGTAAGCGTTGAGACATCTTAAATTTTAAGGGTGATCATTTAATTAATGTAATACCTGTTTAATTTAATTTAATTTTATACCTGTTTAAATAATATGTTACGTTTTTATAACCCAGATCTGTCTTTAAACAATATAAAAAATATACTCCTTTCATTAAAAACTCTTGCAGTACAACGCCCTAGAGTTTGGAGGACATGGAGGTGGAGGCGAGTACGAAGTGCAGACAGGATTCGGTTGGTCGAACGGTGTGATCATCGAGTGGCTGAGCAAGCACGGGCGTGACATTTCCACCGGAGCAGGAGGCGGCGCTGCAGGTGAAGAGCCGCAGTAGAGAGAATCTGTAGCCAGGCCAGAACGCAATCCATCATCAGACATCATCGTTAGCATCATCACAGGCTCAAAGCCAAAGCTTTTTCGAAAAATTGTATTTAGATCTTTGTACATGTACTATATAAGCAACCATCCAGAAGCGCTCATCAACTGCTCATCATCAACTAGGATAAGCAAAAACGCTCTCTCTTTCTCCGCAAAATCTATCCCTATAAACGCCGCTGTCTATAACCTATATCTGTACCGCGAACCATCGAACAATCCCGAGACAAGCATCGAAAACCACAGCACCCCAGTCACCCAGGCACCGCCAAGAACGAGGATCCGATGTCCACCATCCATCGAGCATCCCTGTACTGTCTGTTGTCCATGTCATCCACGTCCAGTCCACGTCTGCACACTCGTGTGACTTGTCCAAAATCAGGCAAAAATCAATAGGAACATTAAATGTCTCAAAGCAAGCCGAGCATCGCGATCAAGTTGAGGATTCACGAGTAAGTGTCCAATTGGGTCGTTCTATTTGGTTGATTTGTGTTTGTGAATGTCAAGGCAATGTTAAGTGTAACAACCCAGCACCAGGTCCAGACCACTCCACCCATAACAGACTGATCCATGGTATTTGTCCCTTTAATACTCCTCCTTATAGGATAAACATCGGCCGTAAAAACCTAACCACATATTCTGGCTTATCTAGCATGCATATCTACAAAGCTTTCAGGAAACTGTCCAAAACCAATTACTAATCCACTAAGAACATGTATATAATCAGGGCTAACAGTTTCCTATGCTTTCGATTCACCCATTTAGTAGCTAAATGAACTGATCCGAGTATTTATTTTTCTAATCTAGCCTCTCGTGTGATGAACTTTGTGGGCTTGGCGGCTGTTACCGTAGTGGCTCTGATAGCGGGTCGTTTTCTATGGTGAGGTAAGCGAAATCGGATCGGAATCAATCTCCCGGAGACAGACTAATTGACATCAAATCTTTCTATCTCTTCCGCAGACACTCTGTGCCAAAACAACCCGTAATTGCTTCCCAAGTATTGTGATTCCCCCGTGTGTGCGTGTAGTTGCTTAGTGTCTGTAGTTGTTCACGTTTTTCGTTGAATGCGGAGATTGCAGTATTAGATATTCATTATTTGGTAGTTGAAGTGAGAGTTGTACATACTGAATTTATATGGGCATGCCCGACATTGTTATTACGTTTTAATATTTAGCAAATACCTATACCAATCCTAGCTCCTCGCAACCAAATGAAGACACAAATACAAATGTTAATAATAATGTACAAAACAAAAATAAACATGAACACAAATTATATGTTGCATGAAGCGAGTTTAAATCCACAAGACTCTAAATTATCCTCTCTCTTGCAGGAAAAGTTGGTTCAAGTAAACGATGCCATTCTACAAACAACAAATATTTTTTGATTTTTAATTTTGTATATTTGCTTTGAGTTCAATTCAATTATGAAAACTTACCTAAGACAAAAGCTAACATAGACAACTCATCGCTTACGTTATATAGAGCACAAAGAAGGTACGCAAACGTGAAATGGAAAGTGGAGAATGACTCGGCCTAGTGCGGCATTGGAAAGGTTTGACCTCGCATCGTAGTCGCGAAACAGAGCAATAGGGTTCAAGGAAATACACACTAATCGTAATCGTAGTTCACACGTAATACACCTATAACTTGGGCTTGGAGCCCGGCCGCCTAGTTGGACTGCTGTTGCTGCTGACCTTGCTGCTGCTGCTGCGGCGGTTGCCCCTGACTGAAGTAGGGAGCGGTGTTGGGCGTGAGCAGCGTGTGACAGATATCACAGACTCGGGCCACTCGCTTCCGTGGCCCCGATGGCACCGTTTTCGTTAGACACTTATCGCAGTAGATGTGGCCGCAGTGCCGGCAATGGATCTTGCGCACCATTACCGTGAAGCCGGCGTTGCACGTGGGGCAGTTGTTCACGTCATCGTCGTCCTGCCAGCGCACTTCCGTGTCAGCATGCCGCAGCTCTTCCAACGACATCTATAACGTAGCAGAATGTAAATATTTAAGTGAATAAATCATATTTTTTTATCGCCCTTACCTGTAGTGTTTGAGATAGTTTAACGAAATCCTTTTGCACTGTCTCCATCGTGGACAGCTCCTCCTGCAGGGTTTTAATCTTTGTTTTGTAGTCTGAATTTGTCTTGGCGTACTTCTCCTGCAAAAATATCAATTTGGTGGCTATCCTACTCCGAATAATCAAGGTCTCACTTACATTGGCCTCTTGCAGTCCAATGATTTCCACGCGACACTCAGACAGCTGTTTATTGAGCTCAGCCTCTTTGCGCTCCAGTTGGTTCTTGGTCGTCTCGTAAGCCTGCACCGTGACCAAATGCTCCGTCACACGGTCCCTAAGAAATCGTTTCAAACATAAGCAACGGATTCACGTTGATTAAGAGATGATGGAACTTACTGAAGTGACTTAATATCTTGCTGCATTTTGCGCTTGTAGGCCCGTCGTTCGTTGTTGCTCTGCTCCAACTCGCCCCGCAAAATCTGAATCTGATCCTCAGTGCTGGTGCACTTCTGCCGTTCATATTCGCTGCTAACGCGTGCCTGGATCAGTTCGCTTTGCTGTCGCAGCATCAGTTCCTGGAGCTCGACGACTGTGTTGGGCAGGTTGATATATTGGTTATCGATCTCCTCGGATGTGGCTAAATAGCGACCGGACAGAAAGTCGTTATCGGCTTGCAGCGTTTCCAGCTGCTTGTTCACGCGTTCTCGGTCGTCGGTGACGCGTTGAATTTGCTTTATCACCTCGTCCTTGGTCTCGAGAAACTTCTGCTGCATGTCCAGCAATCGCTGCTCATTGGTTTTGGCCTGGTCGCGCAGGCTTTGTACTTCGCTTTTATGGGCCTCCCGCTTCTCCTGCCATTGATCCTCAAGATCCTTGCGCAGAGCCGCTTCTTTAGTCAGTGTCTCTCGAGATTCCACTAGTTGTTTTTGCAACAAATCAACCTGCTTTTGTTGTTTGTTAATAAGTGCATTGAGCTCCTCGGCCTTCTTCTCAGACAAGCTGCAGGACTCGCAGGAGCCCTCGGCCACATCCATGGATGTGGATTTGTGCAAGGCGGATGCATCCACCGATGATTTTGCTTGCAGCTGCTCGTCCTGCTCACGCAGCTTAACCTTCAGCGCTTTCATCTCCTCCTGCAGCTGCTCAACAATGGACTGCATCAACAACGCCTCTTCGGAGGCCTAAAAATTAATAGTTTATTAGAGCAGTGAAAGATTTGGGCCGGAAACTTACGTATTGCTTGCCATTTCCTTTGCTGGATGCCCGGGTTTCCTCATCCTGCTGAAAGCTGCTGTTGAGGGAGTCTGTGCCCAGTTTGCGCACGGAGCCTAAGGTCTTTTTAACCTGATTCAGCACTTGTGGCGCGATTCCACCAGATGACTCGGCTTGCGGTTGCTGAGCCAGCGTTTGTGTCTGCTGGTGAATCTGTTGGTATTTGGTAAGCTCCAGCTTGAGACGTTCCAGCTCGCCTTTGTAGTGCGCTGACTCCTCGATTGTGTCCTGCACCAGTTGCTGCAGTGAGGAGATCTCCTCCTGCGCCCTTTGGTCCTTCAGCTGCAGCTCGTTTTTAGACTTAAGGTCAGCCACCGTAAGGTGCGACTTCAGTTCGTCCAGCTGCGCTTCCAGCTGTCGGCGTTCCTGCTGGCTCTGGGCGACTTCCGCCTCCTTCTGCATGTACAGCTCCCGCATCTTTGCCCGCTGCGTGTTGAACTCGTTCTGCATTTTGCGCATCTCGTTTTGCAGGTGACTAAATTTGTGCTGGTTGCTCGCGTCATCCTCACCTGCCGATTGCATTTTCGATTACCAAGAGTGTTTTCAAGGCTAGTGCAGTACACTTACCATTGGCCATATCCGTGGAGTTCGTGGCCTCTGCACGGGTCTCGTTTTCTTCCATTTTCTACTTCTTTTGATGCCCAATTTAAATAGTTTTATATGTACATTTATATCCAATTAGAATACTTCTGTGTTGGACAACGTTCGCAGAGGTATTGGTGTTGTACTTCGCAGCACTTTGTGCCGCAATGTGTGACCATGCCATAGCAAATTGGAATACCGATAGTCAAAGTATTTAAATTTGCGCGCCTTTATTTAAATTTTAACAAATTTAAATGGTGCATGCATAAAAAACTTTTTGTTTTCGATTAGCTTGCAAAGGTCTTAAAACGACTTTTAGGTTTTGGTGTAGAATACTTTAAAGTCATGTGGGTTTGAGAAGTGTAAGAACCAATCAAATATCTTGGTCCTAATAAAATATATAAAGTTTTTTTTAAACTTTAGCAACTTATCAGGAATACTTCCCACAATTACCTGTTAAGCTTTCAGAAGCATAAATATAAAAAAAAAATGCTATCCAATAAGCAACAATTTATTACCGGTTGACATTTGTTTATATTTGAAAATGACAAATAATTTACGAGGAATTAAAGAAAACAAATAGCTAATGAATAAATGATATACATATTCTTTGTTGCGACATATTCAAAATATATAAAACGTTTTGAATATTTGTCTGAAAGAAAGCTTGACATCAATAAATAATAAATAAGCATAAATATGTCTAAATATGTCTGAATTGCTAGTATTCAAATAAATTAATAATTTTTTAATTAATCAGAATGGTAATCTATTATTGTCAATTTGTAAGCATTTCGTAGAAAGTTCTTAGCCACTTGTGTGTAAGCCAAATGAGCGCCAAAATCTATTAGACAGTTCTGGTGAAAACGTAATGACTACCGGACACGAATGACTAAGATTGTCCGTTGTTTTAATTTTATGCAAATTGTTAAGCTGCACAGAGCGAGAAAAACGCTAAACGCTGATAAATTATGCGAGGGAAACTGCCACACTCATTAGTGCTAAGCTAAAACAAAAACATATATGCATAGACATTTATAAATAACCATGTATCCAAAAATATTTGTGATAAGAAAACTACGCCTCAAACAGAGCAAAACTCGATTTAGGAAGCTCAGCGGCGACTGCGCGACCCCAACACACATAATTATGAAATAATGAGTTGGTACGCTGAGATCGCTTGGTGTTTCCTTCTTTGAGACCGAGACCCGTGAGCTCATGACTGTCGATGAAATGATGTCGTCATAGCCGGAGATTCGTGGCTGATACAAACACTAAAGCAATTCCCAACGACAGCGACAACGGGCGCCGATGTTGGCCAAAATTCTTGCTTCAGTTCAGTTCGCATTGGATTCAAGAACGAGGCGGTCGGAAGCGGGAAACATTTAGCCAGCACCGGGAAAATACGCGGAGAAAACAAATACGCGCGGCGCCTTGCAATCGCGACGGCAAATCTACTTATAAACTTAAAAATAATACAAATATATAAGTACAAGCATATATGTGAATGGAATTTAAATAATGACAAAACAGTGTCCAACGTTTTTAGGTCTTGTTGTCAGAAATTAAAGATAAACGAAGGTTCCAAGAGAAGTCATTAATAGAAAGTGTTATTTGTTTTATTAAAAACAGTCGAACTATTCCTGCAAAATGTCGCAGGCGCAGAGTATAACGCCGGTTCCCAGTACACCACCGCCCTCTCGAAGGGCAAACCGACCGCCCAGGATCAATATCCATAATCTGACCAGTGGATCTGCGATGAGCCAGGCATCGATGCCACCCAGTGCCCAGCCACCTTACACGGCTCAAACGAACTACACTGGAAATGGCACCCAGGGTCCCTACTGGCCACCAGTGGCCAATCCCTTCGGATCCGGTAACTTTATGACCAAGGGCTACGAGGGATTCCTGGATATCACAAAATCGGGCATGAGCTTCGGCGAGAAGTTCTCCTTTGGCATGTACAACAAGTTGAGCCGGTGGTCACGCCGCTGGTTTACCCACATTTTCCTCATCTTCATCCTGGCACTCTACAACGTTGGCGGAGCCCTCATCTTCGAAGCCGTCGAAGGGGTCGAGAAACAGATTCCACTAAACATCAGTAGGTTACCAATTAAAAAAAAAAGAAAATATCCGGTCGCAGAAGTGCACTACCCGACTTTGTTTGCTTTTCAAGCTCTTCGAAAATTGTTTGGAAAATAGTAAACAGTTCTCTGCCATTCAAATAAATACACCTGCCGAATGTGTGCGAGGTATTGTAATCGTAAAAACATGCCCCATCAATTTGGCAGACGACTGATTCAGTATCCGAGTCCATCGAACGGGTGAAGGAACACATGAATCACACACATCTACGAGGGGAATAATGTGTCGTAAAAACAATTGAAACATCCAGTCCGAGATGATTAACGATCGGATGGAGAAGTCAAGAATGGAGGCTTTTCCTTAAGAAAATGATTGGCTTTAGAGTTTTTGAATCCATTAGGCAAATGGCTCCAATTCGAGAAGATAAATAAATTCTTTGATTTATTATAACAAGTGCGAAGTGTTAAGAGCAAATCCTTTGGCAAGTTTCCAACTCTCACAGGCACCAACTTTTTTATAGTAAAGCGCCATGGGTCAAGGTTTTTTAAATATTGCTTCCCTTCCTTTAATGAAGTAAAAACAGTCTTAAAATTAATTATATTTTTCAGCTCGTCAGCTTGAAAGGGAAACTACTCAACTGCAGAAATTACAAAGAAATTTCTTCAAAGGTATTTTTGAAGTTACCAATAATACATATGTGTACGATGTAAGTTAATATCGGATATATTTTGAAGCCAAGGTAATTAAAAACTAACCAACAATATATGTATTTCCTTCAGACGATGTTTGATTCAAAAGTGTTAGGATTAATAAACGAGCATTCTTCGGTGGTGGAAACGCTGCTGAGGAGAAGGAAAGAATTGGAGGAGGGCAATGTCTGGACCTTCTGGAACGCCATGGTCTACAGTTGCACAGTATACACGACCATAGGTAAGTGAAGCTCCAAAAACCCATTTGGGTGCCTTTTCGTAACGCCAGGTGTATTGTGAGTGCAAAGACTCCCACGCAGAAAAACTATATATATTTGCTTAGGACGCAAGATGGTCTATTTATGTTTGTTCTTCTTCACTATAAAGCCAACAGAATATGTGACACAAAAGATGGAAATAGTTTCGAATATTTTTGCGATCGTCGGCATTTGCGTTATAAAAAATTTGTGTCTCTTCATGTGCAGACAGTTATGAGATCCCAAGAGGCATCGAAATACTTTGGAATATGGTCACTGCTCTTAATCAAGGCATATAAATAAACATTAAAAAAACACACAACACACTCTTTCACCTTAACAAAGAATTTCCCCGAATTGTCTCCTTACACATTCTTAATCAAATTAGTCTTTAATTTCGCTTTTAATTTGCGAAAGACGTTTTTGGCTCATAAACATGCCATGAAAATCAAAATGATGTTGACCGAACAAATCTGTGCCGTAGATTCGTATTTTGAATAATTGCTCCTTTTGGGAAAATCATGTTTCATCTTCATTGTGTGGTTTGTTAATGATTTGATAGCCACTTTTATTCGATTGACTTGCTTTTCGGATTTGTTCTAAATTTTATCTTTCGCCCGCTGACTTGTTTTACAGCCGGTAAGATAAATGGGAAAAACGCAAAGCTTATTTCAAGTAAATAAATTCTTTCGTGCGTCGCCACTTTTGACAAGTTTCCAAAAAAAAAAAAAAAAAAAAGTGTGAAATGAACTCAGATAAATCCGCAAGTGTGGAAAACTTTGCACCCACATCAACAGAAAAGCAATTAACACAAATTGCCAAATTATTGCCACAAATAGACGACAGAAGAAGGCTCTTAAACGGGTGCCTTGTAAACAGAAATGCAAATTGTGCTCTTCGAGTGCATTCAATATAATCAACTTGTCAAATTTGGCACGCGGTATAAACAAAACAATCTCCTCAAGAGCACTTCTCATTTGTGATCTAGTACAGAAAAAGATTAATATGAAACCGAAAGTCTTTTTGGATAGATGCGGTTGCTCATGTTTATGACTCACTTGCGAATCAATGCCCACTATATTTAGTATGTACTTATTTTTGGGCCCAAGATGTCACAAATATATTACCCAATTTGCCCATGACACCATGATATATTCATATAATTTGTCTTCTGAGTGACTGGCCAAATTGTCAGATTTTAAAGATTAAGTTTTTATTGATGTGTGCAAATGAAACACGAAATCGAACCAATCAATAAACCGGAAAACACTTCATAATTTTCAAGCAAAATCAAAATTTCCTAGCAATCATAAAACTGTTCCTGCTGCGATTAAAATAATGCTTAGTATAACCATTTTATATAGACGATCGGAGGCAAAGGCCGACAATATTATAAAATGGTGCATGCCCAAATGGAAAACAAATCTCGGAGGCAATTCGGAAATGTTGAATGAAATAGCGAGGAATAAACAAACACAAAATCGCAGCGAAATTCCATAAAAGCGAATACGATCCGTCATCAACTTTTCGGAGGAGAAAGGAAAGGGATCGATTCGGGGGGTGAAGGGATTAAACAGGGTTCCGGAGAGTATCTGATGAAATTTTAACAAAACATTTATTTTATTTGAAATTTGGAAGTGGAGAAGTGCTCTACCGAAACTATGACGTCAGTCGGGGCAATGATAAAATACGAGAGACCAAAAGCAAATCATTTTTAATTTTTGGCAAGTATAATTCAATATTTTCTCGGTTTGGGAACAGCTGCAAATTAAACAAATTATATGCACGAATCGAACAGCTAGTGGAAAGCGGAAGGAAACCCCCATACCAAGCAATATTGGGCATTTTAAACAAACCTCGAAGAATTCATAAAATTTCAAGGAATTTGGCTGAGTTGTCTGCATAAATCGGATACATTATATGTAAATCCTAAAAGATAAAGTGCTTTAAGCTTCCGTAGTCATTCGTTTTTTCTCTATACAGTAATGGGCATTCATATATCTTAGGACAAAAACCTTTAAAAAAAAAAAAAAAAAAAAAAATGTTTCCAAAAAGCATTGAAAATTTGATAAGGAATCTTGAAAGTATTAGGAATTATAAGCATTCCTCCCCTTCTTAGTTATTCGTCAGATGAGTGTACTCCACTATCTCTTAATTAAGAGAAAAAATGTCAATTTGCTTTCGACATCTTCTAGGTAATTAAAACTGATAAAATACATCTTTCCATTATTAAACCGCTCGTTAAACTTTTTTCTAAGAGTTGTTATTACAGTCGAAGTGGGGGTAATCCACTAATATTCAGAATTACAAAATATCAAGTTAATACATAACATCAATAAAAAAATAATCGACTTGATTATTTCATTTTTGATGACCCTGTCGCATTAAACGGTGCAAATATCTTTAAACGGCGACAAGCAATATAAAGTGTTTCGGTGTCCCCTCAGCTGGTTTTCGATGTTTGTTTTAGGTAAACATGATTTTGACTTTTTTAATATTTATTTTAGAAGCATTCAAGGTACAATATTCGAGTTTTTGGTCAGCGAATAGTACCCAAATGAGCCTTTTCTTACAAACTACTTGTACATGTACAACAATTCTATCGTACACTTTAAATGTTTTAATATTGGTCAAATTCTGAAAACTACCATCGACCACGACCTCCGCCGCCGCCGCCACCTCCTCTCCCTCTGTTGAATCCACCGCCGCCGCCACCTCCGCGACCACCACCTCCTCGGAATCCGCCACCACCTCGTCCGCCGCCACCTCGGCCACCTGTTGATCATAAGAGTTAGACTTTGTTTTCCAAAAACTGATTTTCAAAATACCTCCTCCGCGACCTCCGCCTCCTCGTCCAAATCCACCGCCGCCGCCGCCTCCACCACCGCGGTTATTCGTGAATGCTTTCTTCGCTCCTTTCGGTTGAGGAGGTTTGGGCAGAAATCTTGCAATTGGCAAAAGCTTTCCAGGGTCGATATACAGAGTCTGATTGGGTTTGAAACTGTTGGCATAGACGTTGTCCGACAGCTTTATGGACACACTGTAATCGCGAACTGTTCCAAAGATTTCGTCGATTTTGCCGACTTGTTCCTTGTTTTCAAGGAATATTGGCGCGTTGAAGTAGGGGACATCCTGGATTCCAACTTTGCACACGAGGTCATTTTGGCAGGAGTAAACGAAGTTTCCCAAAGGAATCACCCTCTCCGGAGGTCCTAGAAAAAAGAAATATAAAGCAGTTAATATGAGAACGAAATGAAGTATACGCATTGTACCACTATGTGCCTATATCACTCTAAGTTTAAAAAAAGTTTAGATATATTAACATCGATATTTTCGTTGGGCCATCCAATATATATATTTGCCAGTCGTCTTCCTCTTTTGTATATATACATATATCTTCCCAAGTTTTAAAAGCATGCGAATCCATGTGTATCCAGCATTTGCATAAGAACAAGAGGCTACCAAAATCTTTGTTCTTTAGAACATTCAACATACAATTGTTGAATTAACTTAACGAGTTAATAACCCTGTTGTTATAGTGGGTTTGTTTTCAAACCACAATATCGTAGTATTACGGTGAAAATTCCATGAACTTACCATTATCGAATGCTCCACGGCCTCCACGTCCACCACCGCCTCTGCCGAATCCTCCTCCGCCTCCGCCTCCTCCATTAGATCTGAAGTTACCACCTCCTCTTCCTCCGCCGCCACCGCGAAATCCTCCTCCGCCGCCGCCACCGCCACGAGGTTTACCAAATCCCATTTTTAAAAATTATAAATTGAACACAAAAACACGTGCGCGTTTCGTTCAACCACAATATTTAGAGACGGAACAAGTTCAAATTTCTTAATCGATATATCGATAGCTGAGCCGTGGGTAGTAAAAGTTTCTATTATACTGTTTTTAGTATTTCTATAGACTTATGGTCACACTTAAATATACTGGCGAACTTTTTAAAACTGTTGCTGAAGTGTATATAGTTTTGTCCAGCAAAAGAAGTAAAATACAAATTTATTAAGTTCAAAATTTTATAAAACGTACGAATGATCTTTAAACTTTATATGTAGACGACGACGAGACGTGTTTAAACAAACATTTTTTGCAAATTAAATTATAATTTATGCCAACATACAACCCCAAATATTTCTCGTACTCAGAACGCAAACACAAAGTGTCTAAATGAAAATAAATACACGAGAGAAAACCTCTCATATCATCGGATGCATTAGATATATAGGCCACATTCCCGCACAGCTATAGCCGAACAGCTGTTGAGACGTCTACTAAACATATAGACAACCAAACAGAAATTGAAAATTTGAATTTTCTCCACACTCTCAGCAGTTGGATGTCAGCCGTGGTCGAGTCGGTGAGCAATAATAGCGAAATCTATTGTATCGCGACGAGCTCGAAAACATCTATAGAAACAGATACAGACATTCTTATATGTAATTGCAGTTGTCAAATACGTGAAGATATATTAGATTACAGTTCTCGGTGGCGAGTGTTGAAACTTAAAATTTTATTTACTTGAAAATAAGAGCAAGGAAACAACAATAGAAAACTGCAATCGAAAGTGATATAATTACCCAGCACAAAAGGCATATTTTCATAAGCGGAATATGAACGCCTCGTTGGGCAGTTAAAAATAGATGGCTAGAGCATGAGCACGAGCACAAAGATAGATCGCGAAAGTAGCACACAACTGCGGCTGGACATGATGGAGCAGCCAGTGGACGCCAGACAGCAGCAGCGCCACCGCAGAAGATTGGGACGCAGTCACCGGGAGCCGACTCCCGTTACGGATACTCTGCCGCAGGACGATCCAAGTCCTGATCCCTTTCAGGAGCCCTCGCCACAAATGGTGCGCATGCAAATAAGACCACCTGGAACTCTGTCCGCCCATGAGAGCAAAATCCTGCGAAAGCGGGACAAGAGCTTTGCCAGCTCCGCGTCCCGAAGTCATTCGCAACCACGGGAAGCTGAGAAGCTCAGTAGTCCGGATGCCCATCATCTGATTAAGCACCGCAGCTTGTCCTCACCTCGCCATAAAGATGAATCCAGCGAGAGCGAGCTGACCACCGGTAGCAGCAGCCAGCAGCAGAGGTTCATCCCGAATCCAGGACAGACCCAGGACACCCTCAGTCGACTGGAGCAGAACCTGCAGCGATTCGAGGACGAACGCAGGCGTTTCGAGGCGGAGAAAAGGCTCTTCGAGCGGGAAAAGCGGGAGCACAAGATGCGACATCGCCAGCAGTTGGACAACGAGGAGCGGAAACGCCTCCTGCAGAACTACCGCAAGCTCAGCGATCGCATCCAGTTGCCGCAGGACGAGGAGGAGCGCCGTCGACTCATCCACAGCTTGAGGCTTCAGCGGCACGAGGCGCCGAAAACCCGAACTCGGAATCGAAGCAGTGGCTACGAGGAGTCCTCCACGCAGTTCAGCTCCTCCGATGCCGAGGCGGTGGAGGAAATTCAGCCCAGGATAAGGCCCGCTAAGATTCCCCAGGGTTATGTGGCTGCTCCGATTCGAGGAGCACCACCACCACCGCCATCGGTGGCACCGAAACCACCAGAAAGACACTCCGTGAGTCGCAACAGCTCCTTGTCGCCGGTGAGACCACAGCGACGTTCCAAGACACCGGAACAGAGGATCCAGGAGTCCAAGCCCGAGGTGATGAAACCCAAGACTCCCGAACCACGAGAGGAGATCAGCCGTAAGCACGAGTACGTGGAAGTGGGCGAATCCAGGAGCGAGGTGTTCAAACCCAGGATCACAGAGGCGGAACAGCAATCGGAACTGATGAAGAAATACATGGAGGCGGCGGAGAGGGCGGAAAAAGCCGAAGCTGCTCTGGCAGCACAAAACCTTTCGGCGGAGGGAGTGCGTCGCAGTCACAGTTTGAGATTGGCCGAAAAGGAGGAAAAACCTTCAAAGCGCAGTTCCAGTTTGGAGCGACCGCTGAAAGCCAAAAGATCGGGCAGCCTGGAAAGGGGTGCCAAGGAACAGGAACCTCAAGGTCCAATAGATACCCAACCAAAAACAGAACCCGAGGTGGAAGTGGATCAAGAAGGGTCCTCGTTGCCAGAAATCCCCGAATCTAAAACTGAATCAAAACCATCCTTCATGCAGCGCTTTAAAAACTTGTTTAAGCGAAAGAAGAAGGTTCAAAGTGAAGATGTCGCAGATTTGGCCACCAAAATTGAGACGGAAAAAATTGCCTCCATCTCCTTTTTGTACCACCTCCGCCTGGAAGCCGTTCACGAATGGAAACGCCTTAAGTTGGATTATCCTCAGCGAGTGAGGGAACTTTGTGTGCTGCGCAACCAGTGCATTTCCCACCTCATCTGCCTAACCATGTTGCTGGGATTCGGGGGCCTGGTATTCCGATATACGGAAGGAGCCTCGGAGAATATCTACAAGTGCGAAGTGCGCAAGGTCAAGCGGGATTTTATCGACAAACTGTGGGATGTCAGCCACAACATGAGGTAGGGATAGTGAACCGGATTGGTGGCCCAGTTTAGGGAGTGATCCTTCTATCTTTGCCAGAGAGGAAGACTGGAAGTCCCTAGCGCGCCAAAAGCTGCGAACATTCGAGGACGAATTGAATACGCTGGCCGAGTTGGGCATGAGGAGGTATCCGGGCCAAAAGTCCTGGAATTTCGTCAACTGTGTTATTTTCTGTTGGACCGTAATCACAACCACTGGTAAAATATAAAGTTGGGTCAACCTTACGGCTTTTAATAAGAAGGTCGTGGTTATAAGTAAAACTTATTAGTTTTGCTTATCTAAAAATGTAGTTTAGTGCTTAAAGAATTATTTCTTAAACGTCTTCCTAACAAAAAATTCAACTTGAACAAATAATTTTTAGGAAAAAAGTAAATACCATAAATGTGGTCGAACAATTTTAATTCAAATTAGGAATTTCTACTAATTTTAGCATTCTTGTCAATTGAATTTGAAAAGGTTCGTTTTTTTATCTTTGCACTCTTGTTGTCCGTTTTAAAGTTTTTAGACTGTATTAAGCTGTCATAACTTAACGTTTTTAAACTTTCCTTTTTTACTCTGCTTTCCAGGATACGGCCACATCACACCCAAGACGGAATGGGGTCGATCGCTGACTATTGTGTACGCCATCATTGGGATTCCCATGTTCCTGATCGTGCTGGCCGATCTGGGAAAGCTCTTTACGCGCTGCGTCAAGTTCTTCTGGCTCTATGTGCGGCGACTGTACTACACAAGATCCTGCCGAAGGATTCGGAAGCAGCAGCAGATCCGCGACGCGATGACTGGCTTCAATACCGTCTACGACATGGCCATTCGGCGACCCAGCATGTTCTTTGGCAAATCCGGAGAGGAGAACGACGAGGAGTCGCAGGCGGATGGCGGGGCAGACAGATCGATGGGCACTTCGCATCCGGAAACGCCGACCTCCCCGTATCCGGAGACCTTCGAGGTGGACGACGAGTTCAACCTGCCCATTTCGGTGGCCTCGCTTCTGCTCATCTCGTACATCCTGCTGGGAACCATTGGCTACGTTATCGCCGAACCAGAATGGGGCATTCCGGGAGCCTTCTACTTCGTCTTCATCTCGATGTCCACCATCGGCTTCGGTGACCTGGTGCCCAGCGATCCCTTCTTCGTGATGGCCAGCATGATCTACCTGATATTCGGCCTGGCCTTGACCTCCATGTTCATCAATGTGGTGCAGATCAAGCTGAGCGATCACTTCAAGACGGCGAGTGCCAAAGTGAGTGCCACCATCGGCATGAACATGACCAGTGAGTTCGGCGATGAGGATGGCTCGCAGGTGAAGACCCCCTCGGAGTTGGCCTCCGTGCACGGTTCGCGGCTGGACAGGATCGAGGAAGATGGCCAGGAGGGGCACGGCCATGGAACCTCCTCCCCGCCGCCACTTCCCTCCATTCTGCGGGCACCGCGTCCTTTGTCCCCAAGTTCGAATGGAGTGGGTGGCAATGGAAGTGGAGATCCGTATGGAGATGTCAGTCCACCACCTTTGCTGCCCAGACGTCAGGTTTCCGTGGAGCCCCAACCGCCGGCGGAGGGGGAGAACAAGAAGAAGAAAAAGCATCGATTCTTTTAGGATACTCCGAGGGATCTCCTCGACAAGATCAGCAAGAAAGATAACCTGACATCGTTAACTATTAAGGAACCTCAAAAATGACAAGGCAATTTTCATCGAATTTAACAGAACGCTGTTCTGCCAGAGGATATATTTTCATTTATTTGTTATTTAATTTTACATGACATTATCGTAGGCTAAGACTAATGCTAATGAAATAAAACACGCGAGCTGACAACGCAGTTAAAGACTTTTTATATATGTTGGATATTTGAAATCGATGAGTTCGATCGATGGGTTTGCTTAAAATGACCAAAATGCACTAATTCTAAATCCATAACTTTCCTAATTTTAATCAGATTTTAAAGTGGTGTACCTCTAAATGTTTGTATTTTAATTCTCTAACAATTTGCATTATTGATTAATTTTTTGTTTTTCATTTTTATGATACAACGCCCTTTGAAATTTCCAAAAAATGGCTTTGCTGAAAAGTAACCTAAATTTCATGACTTTTCTAATACAAGTTTTTTAACTTTTCATTTGCAAGTTGAATCAGAAGTTACTTACAAAATTCTATCTTAGTTGTCTAAGAATGTGACTTTATTTGTTCTCTTTTTTTATATTCTGACAAAAATTCTAAACAAAAATCATAAAAACAAACACTTTTTGATTAAATTAGTTTAATCGACTTCCATGTGTGAGTGGAGTGCAGAATGCAATTACCAAATGCATTGGCGAGAATTCTTCAGCTTTGTAGGAGAATGGGTTTAGTAATCCCAGTGAAAAAGAGGCGGAGGACAAATCCAAATGCACTCGGCAGCTGCACATCTGTCGGTCGCAGGATGTGGAAGAGGAAGCACTCGCAGGACTCGCAGTGCTGAGTTTAAAGAACCAAAGAGAGAGAGAGAGAGAAAAAAGGGAGAGAGAGCGGCTTCTGTCAGTCGTTGATTCCCCCGAAAGGACCTTCGGTGGTTCGTGTTTCCTTCGTGAGTGCGTTCCATTTCCATTCCATTCCGCACGAGTCCTTCGGCTGCTAATAATCGCCAGTTGTTGTTTAGGCAGCGTGCGATTCGGTCGCCGGGTTACTTTGGTTTTATTCCTCTACCAAAAAATAGGCGCCAAAACCAATCAATTGGCAAATACCACAAGAAACTCAACAAGCACCAAAGTGCTTGCCAAAATAAATATTATAAAATATATATATCCATATATTTTGTTTGCCCTTTAGAAGGTAAAGCAGATACTCAGTGCCGCGATCGGTGAGCAAAACGGAACACATAATACAAATCGATCGAGAACCAGAACGGGAAGAGCCGGCTGTCGGCTTCAGTCTTCCCCTCCTCCGATTCTCTCCACTTTTCCGTACACCCCTTGTTTTCTGGTATCGCGTGTGCTACAATTATACGAACTACGGACTAAGAGCTACAAGAACGCATGCCACAAACTGTCGCCAGGTGTGCGATTCAGTCTGAGTGCCTTGGACTCGGCCGATTCCTCAGGGTTCTTGGTTTGGCAACCCATCGGTTTTTGTTTTGCTGCATTCGTTCGCATTACAAACAAATTTCACAACAGCTGTCACTTTCGAATTGCCAAATTTCCCTTCATGGGATCATTGATATCGAGTAGTTGAGTGAAAAACAGTGTAAAACTAAGAGTCTCTTCATAAAACTACAAAAACAGACGCAAAAATGTCGGCCGTAAGCAGTCGCAATCAAAAAATGGAACAACAGGTAAGGATATCCCTTAATTCAAAAGTCGGAAAAAGCCGTTAATATGTTATATGTTTTATTATGACGGGAACTTTCGGTTAGCTTTTAGAATCATACTAAACATTTTTAAATGAGTTCTGGATCATTGAACTCTTTGGTATGTTCTAGTTGTTTAATGTGCAACTGACTGTGATTTATTTACAATTTACAAATCATTAATATATGACATTTATTTGATTGATTTCCTAAAAACGTACTACATTATTGATATAGACTTTTTTCCGGAAATTCAAAGAAATCCGTGCATAAAATAGCTAATACATATATAATATTTGCGTAAGCAAGCTAAAATTGGTTTTGGACTGATGACCATTTTATCTTCGATTCTGGTTGATTTTAGTACAAAAATTAAGTTTCCTTCCTCAAAAAAGCCGTAAAGCAAATTTAAAATACAGATAACAAGTACAAATAATCTTTCGTGATTTGAAAAAGAAGATTTCATTGGCAGAAGTCCAAGAGCAATTTAAACGCAAATGTTATTAAATATTTACCTTAAAGACTAAAAAGTTTTGCAAACCCTTTTCCTCGTGGTCAAGGCAAGTCAGCAACGGCTTTTTCACTTTTCTGCTTTCATTGCCAGACGAATCATGAAACTCTGGGTGAAACAAAAAAAAAAAGTATCCTTTCTTGGAATAATCGGGCGGCCCAGAGCAATCAGCACTTGCCGAAAGAGGCCATCGGGCAAAAATCCCCGGAATTGTTCACTTTCTGCCCTCAAATCTAAAAGCCCCCACAAAACCCAAACACCCAAACACCACAAGCACCCAAAAACACCCAAGAGCCCTAACGCCTTTTCGGATTGGTTTTGTTGTGCCCAATCTTGGTGGCCACCTGGCCGTCGGTTGTCCTGGCAACGGCGTCCAAATAAATCGAAACCCGGCTTTGGTGGTGCAGTTGCTGCAGGCCGATACGATTGTCATTGGCCCTAATTATGTTGGGCGGCACGAAGCCCCCAAACCATCTAAACCACCGAAACCACTCAAACCACCCAAACACCCTTTAGCACCCACTAGAACGTAAGTCGAATCACTTCGATGTGGTTGAGTTCAGTTGCCAAGTGCCGGAGTTCTGGGTCCTTCGAGTTGGTTCGATTTCGATTTATTTCCGTGATGGCTTATGAAACATTAAGGATCTATTTTCGGCTTTCCATGTTATATTGTATGGCAGTAAGTCATGAAAATATAATGCCAAGCCATTTTATTTCCAATTACAATTTCTTGGAATAAATGATTTTTGTTGTCAAAATAAAGGTAAAGGATTGAGGATTGATTTTTAATTGCATTTTAAAATCCATACCAAAAAAGCTAACAAGTTCCTAGAAAACGAAGGATTTTCTTTGTTATTCCTCTATACATAACCATTGCTTTCTTTAAAAACCTTTTATAGAAGCAAACCCTTTTATCCTTAATGTAAGCATACACCATTAATCTCCCTAATCAAGCGTTTGGGTAATTTTTTCAAGTTAGAATAAACACAAATTTATTTCGGGCCATAAAAAAGAAAGTGCAGCACAAAAGGAGAGCCAATTTACGCTCGGCATAAATCAACAGGAAGATATATGGCCGTCAACTCATAAAGTGGTCGCTAAAAATACACAAAGGATTAATAAAGTCTTCGGACTAAAGGACTCCCGCTAAACTAAAATGTGCTGACTTCTGCTGTTTGTGTCCTGCGTAACTACGGGCAACTGTCACAGTGAACACACAATGACACATCCCGGCAGACAGGATACTCGGGACGCAGACAGACAGTCAACTAGAAATGTTAACAATACCACTATTTAGTATTGTTTTCATGTTTGCCGTCGCCCGTGGAATATCATTAACGGAGGAGGTCCTCAGGATACAGAGGGCTAAAAATCGATGCCCGCCGGTTGACTTTGGTACTTGAGCTCAGCGACGAACTAAGCCAGAGGATAATGCCGAGTAATAAGTCACTCAATTGTTTTGCTCCTTCCCCACACTCCGTGCCATATGAGCATAATTTTGGGTTCCCCAGTTCGCACGAGCTTTTCTTCACGCGAGCCGTAAAAAGAAAACATTTTGGCCCAAATCGGAAATGACGCACCGCCCTCACTTTGTCAAAATCCATTTGCACATTAGGGTGGCCCCTTAACATCATTTATAAATATTACATTATTTTTACCCTAAACGAATTATCTGTAACGAATTTCATGCTTAAGACTTATTTTCATTTTCCAAATATAATCAGTTTCTTAAATCCAATTTCAGGGTTTTAAGTAATGGTAATCAATTTGGACCCAGTTCCACCCTAAAATATTTAGACTTACTTCACTTAGCTTTACGGCATTTGCCCTTTGTTTCAAGCCTGTAATTTGCGTTCTGTTGCTTTCAGTCCGAGGTTCTTGACCCAAGAATAAAGAAAGCCGGCTGAAACGAAATCGAATTTTACCAAACTTCTCGGCTGTCAGCCATCAAAGTCAGAGCTTAAATATTTAATAAGTACAGAATCGGGATGAGACCGAGTATTAAGTGTGCAATTCGACCTGTCACTAGAAAATGATTGATGACTTTGTTGAAAGCTTTTCATTTCAGAGTTATCGGCTGAAATCGAATACTTTTCAGATTGTGAAAAAGTGAAATCCCTTAGAAATGCTTTAAAAACATTTTGTAACGATTGGCCCCGGCAATTTGATTAAGAACGTCATGGAATTCCCTTGGCTCTCATTTAACAAAAGGTTAAAAAAAAAGGTAAAACCCATATTCATTCCTTTATTTTACCAAGGCCACAATTTCAGGCAAAGCCGTAAACGCCCTCTGATGTTTTTATAATTCATGGTAAGCTCTTTGCCAGAGTTTCGCACCTAAGCGGGCCAAAATCCCGAACGGGTTTCACAGAAAATTCCTCAAAGGGCAACTGGCAGCGGGGGAACGGAAAATTCCATGATGAAAAGAAGCCATGTATTGAAACGGGCTTAAATAAGGGGAACAAACGCACTCGAGTTACCTAAAAAGCAATTCATTTTCAATTAGAGCAAACATATTTGACATATGTATATACTAATAGCCGGCAATAAATTGCAGGATAAAAGCTTTCATAGCTGTGCTGCCATTCCACCAGGTCCTATTTCAGTTTATGCTCCTGCCATTTTATTTGGCTAAAAATGCAGTTGGCAGTTGCCACTCGCCAGCTTAGTGGACAAGCTTCAGACTTAAATTTCATTTCTCTCCAAGCGCTGGGAATTTTAAACTTTTGGTTTGGGAAAACAGAAAACAGGTTTTACCCTAAAGGTTTCTATTTTATTCTATTGTTATTAAAATATGCTAGAAGTATTCTATTTATTGCGACTATTATTTTTTATAAAATAAATGCATTTGTATTTCGATTTCTTCCTTTTGTAACTACTAAAGTTTTAATACGAATTGTCCAAAAATGTCGACACTTTTTGCACCACTTTAAATGAGTACATTGGAAATTTGCGGACATCCCTGCAGGACCTCATTTCAATTGCAGATTGCATTAGCTGCAATTTGGCATCGAGTTTCGCCGACGGCTACTGTGGAAAGTCGTAGGCGGCAAGCTTGATTCAATTTATCAGACACAGAGTTCCTGCAGCACCACTATCCGCGCCATCAAGAGTTTTGCATATGCAGAAAATGGGGAGCATGAGCTCTCCCCATGTTGCAAATTAATTACATCCCGTCAGTTTCGGTGTGACGAGATCGGGAAACTGTTGACTCGCTTTTCGTTGGCCGGGGGGCGTGAATTTTGGCGATTTTCCAAGCTAAACCATTTGTTTCACTTGCAAATATGAATAAATCTGTTTTAATTGGCAAACTTGTGCGCGAAGCCTTTTCGAGTGGCTCATATTTGTCATATTTTAACATTTGAAAGGAATCTAGCCACAATCATTTAATTGGCAATGGCGGAAATATTAAGCAAACATAGTTGCAAAATATTCTACAGCAAATATAAAACACAGAAGTAAAATAAAGCTGTATAAAAAAGTATATAGAGATACAAATTATATATTTAGATAAAAATTGACAAAGCTATGTGATTTGGAAATACAGTTTGCTGAAAACTATAGAAAACTTTGAGAAATCTGACATGAACAGGGGTCAAAATTTCGATCATCGATTTATTTATTACATCAGAAAAGAAGGGAATCATGCGTTTCAATACTTTGCCTTTTTATCTAATAGATATACATTTAACTTGGATCTTCAAAAATTTGAAATACAACATAACTTAAGGAAGCAGTAAAAACATATTTTGAGTTCTTGTGCGTATTTTTCTCTGTGTGGGTGGAAATAACCAATTAAATTGAAATGTCTTTAATCGCCTTTTGCACAGTGGTTGTGTTTTGTGGTGCGCTGTCACACGTGTGGTTTGCTGTGGTTTTCAGTGGTTGCTGCAGCGGAAACTGCAGCTGACAGTTTGCCGAGTTCACGTCACTGATTAAGTGGTTGGGTGGTCTGTGGTTTATCCTCCCTGGAGCAGAATTCCTGACCAAGGCTTCCACTTTTTCCCCACGCATCATACTCTTTTGCTGCTCCAGTGAAGGAGGCCATTAGTCCTTATCCCGGCCATAATTTGTATTCCAAGAAGGATTTCAACAAGAAATAAAGGTCAGATGCCGTCGCTGACTTATTAATTACTTGCAGAATTATTTATTCGCCTGCTTGATTCGATATTAATGCAAATTCTGTTTTGCCAACAACCCAGGGGTGATTATTGGTACTTGCCTTTTCCCATTGGAAACTAATTAGGTCAGCTATCTGGTCAACTAATTAAAATGCATAAAGGTATGGAAATTATACGGCTTTGCACGACCAATTTTACATTGAATTTCCATGATCCATGAATTTCAATTGGGATATTATGAGAAGTGGCAAAGCGATTGGCGAAATCCAATAATGGGTTTTTGCGAAATGAATATGGAAAACGACAGTGAAATGACCGTGTGGAAGTGAGGGCAACTGGAGGAGGAGGAAACG